GCAGGCGCTCGGCCAGCGCCAGCTGTGCAGAGCCACAGCGAGGGACAGCACAGGGAAAGGAAGGGACACGTTAGAGACATGCCACTCAACAGGCTCAAATCACTGCCAAAGCAAGGCAAAAACCGCTTGAACATCAGCACCTAAGCCTTAAATTCAAGCCCTTGGGAGTTAAGCTGTTTAGCCGTTTTGGAAGGAGCACCCACAGCTGAACAATAAAGTTCTGCAAATAAATCCTAAAGCAGTTTGGACAAGTTCCCAACAGCAATACTGTCCACTGGCTTTAATTGCCACGTCTTGCCAGAATTCTTCCCATCTCTTTTATTCCCTTTGGACTAAAGCCCACTTCTTCACTTCCTTCTATCAGCCTCATGCTACAGGAAATCAGCAGGCAGGATACATGAACTGTGCATAAAACAATCTGCCCCCAAAAATGAAAACCCTAACAAATGGAGAACCTGCTTCCAGATAAATTAGAACAAAAGTATGTGGGTTTTTTTCACTGCTATTATTCCATCCTCCCTACCCACCCTTCCCCAATACAGAAATATGCTCCATGCATTAAGACTGAAAAAAGCTGTTTCTGTTCACAGAAGACAGCTGGCCAGTCAGCAACACCCCAAGTGAAATGATACTCTCTGCCCATTAATAAAAAGGTGTCGCTTCCCCATTTTTGCAGCACATTTCAAGTGGGAATTGGATTTGCTCTCCCATCTCAAAAATAAGCATGCCCAAGCATAATTTTCTAAAGCAGAACTAGTTAGAAAACATGGCACAGCGTCTTGAAGTCCTACAATACACATTGCACTTTTTCAGAATGTGACCAGAGTTTTCATTGAGACTCCTAAAAAAATAAACATTTGATTTCTACATGACAAATAGTTGAATGAATATTTCCACATGAAATAGTTGAATGAATGCCATTACCAGGATTTCATGCTTCCAGTAACCAGCGGTCCTTGTGGATAACCCAAGAGTAGAAACAGCATGACTTGCATATTCTTCAGCAGAAGGTAACAAGAAAGATCTCTTTGACAGAAAGCTGCTGAATGCTACCATTTTTGTAGCAACTGTGCTTGGGATTAGACTTTGAACAAAAATTCCTTTTGAGCCATACTCGTGATGTATTGCTCTACTGAAATAGTCCAAGTACATCTAGAAAGACAAAAGCAGAGAGACACCTTTTTTTTTCTTTTTTTTTTTTTTTCCAAACAATGAAATGTCAGGGCAGAGTCTTATTAAAATTACAGAGAAGTTGTAACATACTTAATAAATCAGCTCAATAACAGTATAAAAATATGCACTTTTAAGTATCATCAACGTTTCTGTGTGTTATTTGTTTGCTATAAACCTGCCACAGTAGAGTAACCTGCAGGACAGAGTGACTGATTAACAAAATCTGACAATTTCTGCTTAAAGACAATACAGAAACATTTATTTCATCAAAAACAAACACCTTGTTTAGTTTGGAGGCATTATAGACAGCTATACCTTGTCAGAAGGCCAAAATAAAGTCCTATTCTTTAATTTACAGGGGAATTTTGCATTCAACTGCCTTCCCCAGAGTCCGGGTTAGTTACTTCCTGGGACTCCCTTATGCAGAATTCCTCCTTTGTTTATGGGTATCTGTGTTACCTCCTTTAGCTCATTTTACTGTTCCAGAATAACAAAAGCACAGGACTGGTGAGTGGCACTGCTGGAATCAGACAGGACGAGGCTGCCTCAGTCCCATCAGGGCAGCACCACTGATGTCACGGTGCTGCTGCTGCCCTGCCACACAGCCACTTACCCCTGACAAAGGGCATTTCACAGAGCAGCTTGTGAGCAAACGTGTTTCTGCTCCCCAGTTGCCTCACAAAAGGCTTTCCCAACAGTTTGCTGGGAAATCATCTTGTACAAATGCTCTTACAAGTGATTTAGGAAAACCAAAGCAATCACTTCAAACACTGTGCATTGTTAATGCACCCAGAGGCTGAGAACGCTAGAGCAGCTTGTTCTCCCTTCTGTGTTCTGAGCCAGGCTTAAGACTGGACTGCTGATCTAGGAACTGCATTAATGCTGCCAGCTAAATAAAGGAACTTTGGTACTGTTTGGGTTTGTTCCTTCTCTTTCAGTCAAGCTTTTTAATTATTTTAGTTCAGAGTGCAGTTCTACTCACAAAAGCTATCCCAAGAGCAAGGCTGCAGCAGACAGCTGCCACTGACAGCTGGGAGCAAGGACCACTGGTGTTTAGACACCACATCTAGGCCAGATCCTTCATGCCAGCAGCACATCATGCAGTGTAAATCCACACCAACATGAGCATTCATACTGCCAGCATCACCCACCCGCCCCATCCTATTCACTACTGACTGGATCTTCTCAGGGTGGACAATTACAGGGGAAAAGTTCCTTTCACTTCTCCCCACACATGATACAATGGTGTAAAAGCCTTCCACCCCTTGGTGTTCAGTGAAGCAGTGGCCTGATTTGGCCACAGCCTTGTCATAATGGTGGCTTGAGCCTCTTGCTACCAAATACTGGTGTGTAGGAGACTTGAAGTATGTCTGCACAGTTCAGCTGAATAAGGGAGATTAAATTCTGCCACTCTGCTTTGTGCATCTGAGGAAAACAACATTTCTCCTAGAATTAGTTATGCCACAGTTCACACAAAATCAAACATCACTGACTTTGGTTCACAGCCCAGCACTGGTGAGGATGAAGAGTTTACTGCATAATACATGTATCATTCACCTCCAGTATTTAAACAAATCCCTAAAAAACCTTCAAGTATTTTGACATCCTTGCTGAAAGTGTTTAAAAAAACCCATACCACAACCAACCTATAATGTACTTTCCAGTGCATACCATTAATTACACCCCAACTTACTTTAGAGGCTCCATAGATTGTTATCAGTGGTGTTGGCTGACAACAGAGTATAGAAGAAATGTTCACAATTGCTCCTTTCTTCTTCTTTAGCATACCTGGCAGCACAATATGTGTCATCATGTTAGCAGAAGCAATATTTATATGGATCATGTCCCACAGCACATCCTCAGACAGATTAGCAAAATAGTCCGGGTACTCAGTAAACATTCCCACATTATTCACCAAAATCCCAATTTCTCTGTCTTTCAGAGCCTCTTTAATGGCTGGGTAAGGCTCACGGCCCTTGCTGAAATCAGCTACTATGAAATCTGTTTCCACTTTGTGTGTTTCAGATATGCTCCTGGACACGGCCTCCAGCTTCTCCTTGCTCCGGCTGACCAAGATGAGGTTGACTCCCCGCTTTGCCAGCTCCTCGGCGTACGCCTTCCCGACACCATCCGTGCTCCCTGTCAGTGAAAACAGCAACAGAATAAACGAGGGGGAAAGCAGAGCAACCCCAGCCTTCCCTTTGACACTTCTTTCAATTATAGCTCTGTTCTCTTTTTTGAGATCATGTGGTGCTGAATACATTGATTTCAAAGCCACAGCATTGAAGACAACGTTGTCAGCAGCCACCTTCTGCAATCCCCCTCGTACAAGTTTTAGTTTCTGTGACAACAAGAGAGAGATCAAAGCACAATCTTATGAAAGGCAGAGATGCCAGAGCTACAGGACTCAAACTGTGTTGAAGAACTACAGCACATATGAAAATATCATAGCAAAAAAAGGATCTCATCTGCATCTCTGTCTACACTTGCAGGTGTTCATGGTGTACCTTGTAAATTTTGGGGACAATTGCTGTAATTCTTTCTCAGCAGTCAGTCAAATCACTTAGCTTGTCCATATGCTGAGGAACTGAACCTAGTAAGGCAATGAACAACAGCCACTGCAACCAGAGGTAATACAGGCCCCAGGCTGTGACATAAGCTCACCCAGCAGCACAAGCCACAGGTCTCACAGTACTGGCACAGTATGCTACATAAACATAGGTAAATACGACGCTTCCTCTCTTACCAGTGACCACGGCCCATTGTCCATACTGCTTGACAAGATCAACCTCACAGCCCAGCTTGGGCATAACATGCAACCGAAGCATGCTGTAAGTGTCAAAGGCCAGAGACACACACTTTCTGACTGTGTACCAAGCTCCAACAAGAGCCAGGGCTTCCATGTAGAAACTGCAGGAACGACTGATCTCCCTGTACAAGAGGGAGAAACGATCCACCGCTGCCATGGTGATCACAAGCCTGAAAAAAAAAGAGAGACACAGGCAATTACAACTGGCTCTTGGGCCGTGCAAACTTTTCAAACTGAACGGATAACCTTTGAGATTCACCATGTTACAGTCTGAGCACTGTTTTGATACAGAAAACCCACATGTCGGCCTGCTAAAATCTGGGTATCACCTACCATCATCCCCATTGATTTAAGTACTCTATAGCTCTTGTTCTAGGATTTAGCTATTAACCAGTTATACTGCAATGACACTGATCAATGACAGCAAAAGCAGGAGAAGCTCAACATGTCAAAACTAATTTCGGAAGACGAAGAACTTGCCGCAAGAGAGGCAAAGGATAATCAGCAGGAGAGAGCTGAGAGGCAAAGAAACAACGGGCTCTTTCAAGGCCGAAAAGCTACACGGGGGAGGACAACGCAAGCCCTGAGGGCAGAACTTCATTCCCCACCGCATCTCCCGCTGGCCCCCGAACCAGGGCGCGGTGCAGCGCATCAGCCTCCCGGAACCCCGCGCCTGCCGAGCCCTCACGGCTTTCACTGGGTAGCGCATTTCTAAACCAAGCACAAAGCCCAGCCGCTGCCGCCGCCTCCGAGCAGGGCCCGACCCCTCGGGCCGCCACACGCAGGAGGGACCCCAGCGGCCCGCACAGACCCGGGCTGCGGGGCCCCTCCGGTACAGCCGGGCCCCCAAGGGGCCCGGCTGTACCGGAGGGGCTCCGCAGCCCGGCCGTGTCCCGGTAGTCCCTCCTCACCCTCGCCCCGGTCCCGCTTCCCCCTCAGGCCCGGTCCGGTCCCTCCCGCCGCCGCTCGGGGCCGCCGGGAGCGGCCGCGCCGCCTTGTGGGCCGTTGCGCGGTCGCCATGGCGACGGGCCCGGCTGTGGTGGCGGCGGCGGGGCCGGGCCGCTCTCCCCCATTGCCCTGCCGGGCTGTGCTCCCCACCCTGCCCTGCCGCCCGCTCGCCCACACCGCGAAAGTCAGGCCGTGAGTCCGGCGCTGACGCGGGGGCTGCGGGAATGGAAGCGGCCGCCGCAGAGCGGGACGGCGGCGGAGGGGAGGTCACAGCGCCAGAGGCGCCGCCGGGCGATGGCGCGGCCGGAGCTGCCCCCACAGAGCGTGAGGGCAGAGCTGGCAGCGCAGGTGAGCCCCGGGCTGGCTCGACAGCACCAGCTCGGGACACTCTGGCCAGCACAATGTGCAGACATCGTCTGCTAACTACTCATCTGGGTGCCACAGGAGGCTGTGCTTTCTCCCAGCAAAGTCCCTGGAAATCCTGCCATGACTGAGGCGCGCTCAGTTGCTACCTGCCTGTACCTTTTTTTACCATTACCTCTGTTCCTTTACTCTCCTCTTGCTGGAGAGAGACTTTTTCGTGTGTTGTAGTCTCCCTGCTGGCCTGCGCTCTAAACCACAGAGCTCATGTGGCAGAAGGGACCACAGTGGCTGGGAGCGTCTGGCCCAGCTCCCTGCTCGAGCAGGGCCATCCCGGAGCACAGGGCACAGGATGGCACCCAGACAGTCCTGGAATATCTCCATGAGGGAGACTCCGCACCCTCCTGGGTGATCTGTCCCGATGCCTGGTCACCCCCACAGTAAGGAGGTTCCTCCTCGTGTTCAGGTGGAACATCCTGTGCATCACTTTCTGCCCATTGCCTCTTGTCCTATTGAATAAGCCCTATTATTATTATGTTTCAGTTACAATCCTATTTAAATGAGCTGGTACAATCACCTTGTTCGTACTCTCTTTTTAAGTGTACGGACTGCAAGTGCAACTAGAAGGTCCAGAGCAAGGTTCTGAAGAGAGAAATACTGAAATTGCAGTTAATCAGTGTAAAGACAGCGTGAAGGAGTGCAGCTCTGCAGACACCGTCCAAGGAGTGCCAAAGGGTAAACCTGTAGAAGAGCTGAAAGACAGTGCTTGGGATGACTTAGATACACCACTACCATAGTCTCTCTACATGCAAAGTTAAGAGTCTTGTCAAACACAAATTAGTGTTAATTAATTATAATACATGGTAAATGTCTAAGACCATAAGAACATTGATGCCAGTACTTTATTGCCACTGTATGTTATAATAATCTTAAGACTAGTGAGTAATACTTGACTTCCAGATCTAAAAAAAAAAATAGAATAGCAAATTTCAGCAGTTAAATTTGCTACTACTTATTTTATACTTTACCTTCTAAAAACATTAGGTTTCACTAAAATTATCAGCAAAAATCTTGGTTAAAACCCTCCTCTTCTTGAAATTCACATTCAGGTGCTCTTCAGTATTTCTCTAAAGTAACTGGCAACATGACACATTTTCCCTACCCTTGCTGTTAAATTGCAACTCATTTTCTTACCTACAAAGATGTTAAAACTCAAGAGAAAGCTGTCAACTGCATGTCCAGAGCAGGCCAACAGAATGAACAAAAACCAGGCGTTGATCATGAGTCTGTAACCAGCTCATCCCGTCAAAGGACAGCTGAGAAGAAGGGCTCTGTGAGGTAATACTCTGCTTGTGGATGTGTTTGAGTTAAAGCTTGGAGCACTGAAGTCAGTGGGAGTTTTGCTACTCTGCTTATTGATCTCAACTCGGAGAACAATTTTGCAGATGAGCTTGAGAATAATTGATGAATCAGGATTAGTGAGATTCCCAGCATCTGTACAGATGTTTGGGTTTTTATGGCCACAGTAGCAAACTACATTCTAACCACATGAGGTAGTCTATTTAGTGGATCTGGAGAAAATTGTGCAAACTCTTGTGGTAGCTGTTTGCCAGTAGATCTGACCATTTCTCAGCATCAGTTCAGGCAAGGCATTGTGTTAATTCCTAATGGCATTCCCAGCCAGCCACAGCTGCATATTAAAACTTCCTTGAGTGCTCTTTCAGAGTCAGCATTCCATTAAATGTTGGGCTGAGGTCCTGTACCAAAGCAAGCAGGAACAGAGGAAAGAGCTGTCGAGGAAGGGAGCAGAAGCTAACATAGGATCACGCTGCTCTTGTCCAGGAAGATGGACTCTCTAATTCCCTACTCATTTTCCTACATACTCTGTTTTTTAGCGGGCCTGGTAACTCACTTCACACAGGTAGAAATGAAAAGCCACTCTAAAAAAACCTACTGCTTTTTTAATTTGGAATGTAGTTTTGAAAACTGTAGCTCTTTCTATTGCATGACAGAACTATTCATTGTGTTGCAGTGGAATCTATAAGGAAGCAAAAGATTTCAGAATGTGCACTGAAACACTTTTTGTTTTGTTTCTGCTTCCTGTTATCATTTTAGAATGACAAAAAAGACTCTGCTGGACATCTGTAAACAGCAGAAATTATACTGGACCCCCTACTTAAATGATACACTTTATTTGCATTATAAAGGTAAGATGTGGACATGACTGTTTGGATTTATCATTCCAAGTAGCATTTTAGCAGAGAATCCATTTCTTGGCTCACTGAAGTAAGATATGTAGTCATTCTTTTCAATTAAAAACATAATTTTATATAATACTGGAATTGGGAAACAAAATGTCTCAATATGAAGGTAGAAAAATAAACTGATTATACATCTAATTCACTTTGTGGAGTCATTCAAAGGATCAGTAGGAATCAGGGACATATTTTTGGTGTTTTTTCCTAAAACAATAGCCTCTGAGGAATGTCTTAAAATACTGGTCTGGGTTGCATTCAGAGGAAAGTATATGTACTTAGGACATGCTACCTTCTGCCTTTGGCCTTGGTTTTGCCATGTGTTATTTGGCATCCAGAGGGCTGCATGAGATCCAGAGCAGAACAGGTACTGGGGTGGTTTTGCCCTGGACGGGGCAGGAACAGTGGCATTAATTCAGAGGAAGCACTGTCAGTGGGCTCAGCACCAGTGTCCTCACAGGCTGCAGCAGCTCTGCTTCTGTGGCACTGACTCTTCCAGAGAGCCCCTCTCAGCCATTTCATTTTCCATCCTCCTTTTCCTGCAGGATTTGACCGCCTGGAGAACCTCGAGGAGTACACGGGCCTCAAGTGTTTGTGGCTGCAGTGCAATGGCTTGAGGAAAATCGAGAACCTGCAGGCTCAGACAGAGCTGCGCTGCCTCTACCTGCAACTCAATCTAATTGAGAAAATCGAAAACCTTGAGCCCTTGCAAAAGCTGGACTCCCTCAACATCAGTAACAACTACATTAAGACCATTGAGAATCTCTGTAAGAACTGTGGGTGCACCGTGTGTTAACCTTGGGCAAAGCCCACGTTCCTAAGCTCTGACTAAGCTATTATCAGTGGCACTGGTTTCAAGGGATATTTTTATTCATGGCAGGCATTTGCACAATATCCCATACCAAAGTCCACAGGGCTTCTGCTGAGGAGTCAAACCTGTGTAATTGCAAATTAAATAGATGAGAAAGTAGGAACCACTTTCACGTGGATACCTAGAATAATTAGGTAGTGTTTTCCTCACTTCTTAATACCATCTCAGTCTTATCAGTGTTGCAGACAGGCTGACAATCCAGTTTTCACTACTTGCTTTACAGTTAAGGTGTGCTTTGGCAGTTGCAGACACAATTACTGAATCTCTTATGTCTGCTAAAAGATTATTCTGTCTGCAGCAGACAGTAAAAAACAATGCCCCTACATTACCACTTGCATACACTGGGAAATTTTGAAAGGCAGCTTCTTGCTTTTATGTAACTGATTAGTTTGAAATGTGAATAAAAGACAACCACCATCCCAAAACCAAATAGCTGTTTTTCCCAGGGTGAAGAAAGCAGCTTTGGAGGCCTAGCCAAAAAGTGCATGTAGCAGAACACCAAATTTAGAAAAAAGCTCCAAATTCAATACAATGAGTTTGACCATGCAGTTTTTCGCTTGCTCCAGGAAGCCCTCTGTGAAGTAACAACTCTTACCTTTCCTTTCCCCGCCCTGTTGTTGTCCCACAGCTTGTCTGAAGGTGCTGCAGACTCTGCAGATTGCTCACAATAAGCTGAGGACGGTGGAGGACATCCAGCACTTGCAAGAGTGCCCCAGCATTTCTGTCCTTGATCTTTCCCATAACGGCCTAAGTGACCCAAGTATTGTAACTGTTCTGGAGACCATGCCTAATTTGGTGAGTCAGACACAGCTGAGGGTTCCTACCATGTGTGTGGGTGAGCCCCATGAGGTGCTTTTGGTAGTTCAGGTATTGGTCTAAAAAAAATCATTATTAACCAGTATTTTATTTCTTGTTGATTACCTGTAACACTCAGGAGGTTTTATTCACCTCTTGTTTTTGCAATGACAGGCAAAGTGCATATCCAGAATGGAGGTTTTTTGCTACTCAACTTTAAAAATTGTTCCCCTTGTTTCTGTAGCATGTGCTGAATTTGATGGGAAACGAGGTGATAAGGAAAATTGCTAATTATAGAAAAACACTTATTGTTCGACTAAAACAACTCACATATCTGGATGACAGACCAGTTTTCCCAAAGGACAGGTAAGAAACACAGCCTTCTTCATTACACAGCAATAAAGGTCAAATGCTAATGATCCCTCACACATTTCTTGTCAAAACTGTCATGGAAGGAAAGGAAGACTGACCAGTATAATTTATTGAAGGAGACTTGGAGGACAAGGGTATTGTATTACAGAGTTCTACATCTCACATACCTAGAAAAAAGCAATCTATTTTTTCACAAAATGATTCTTGAGAATGCTCTTATGCCAAGTCTGTAGAGCAGAGGCAAATCCTGATTTCATCATTAACTGAACAGGTGTCTGGAAGAGCCAAGCCCAGCCCAGAGCAGTCTCTGGTGCTGTGATCACCAGCATCTGCCTATCTTGAGGGTTTTTGTTTCAGTTCCACATACAGGATGAGATAAACATTCATCCCTGTTGCATAAGGGATTGTCACTGCTAAATGCTTTTTTTCTATTTTCAAGCTATTTTGAATTTCTCTCTCATTGCAAAGATGGGCTTCTCTAGCTGTATTACCCTGATTTGTGTTTTCATTAGAGCCTGTGCAGAAGCCTGGGCTGTTGGAGGGCTTGAAGCTGAGAAAGCAGAAAGGGAAAAATGGGAAACCAGAGAGAGAAAAAAAATCCAAGATAGCATCGATGCATTAGCAGCCATCAGGCAAAAAGCAGAGGAAAATAAAAGGCAAAAGTGCATGGAAGAAAGAGATATAAGTGCAAGGTGTGGAAATGGAGATGCAACAGATGCCCTGGAAGGTTTGTGCTGACAATTTTGGGAGGTGTCTCTGACCACTTCAATTTGAATGTGCAGAGGAGTCTTTATCTGGGTTTTTTGTGTTGACTAAGAAGTAAAATTTTTTCTGCAAGCAAGTGAATTGCACAAAGGAGAGGATAATCAGCACTTGTTGCTGATCCATCAAAGTCCTCAAGCCTATATTTAAATACGTAGTCACCTGGGAGTCTTTTCAAAGTTAACTCTGAGGACCAGCCAGTTGTTCACTACAGTGTTTTCTCTAGATGATTTTTTTTTTTGCTGGGGAACTTTATTTGCTGGGGAGTTGAGATGGGAAAACCCACAACATTGTGCAGTCTTGGGAGGACTACTCAGCCACAAATAGCTGCTCACACAAAGCAGGAGCTTTTGCTGCATATTTTAGGCCAGGGTAGTAATGTTTGGATATTTAGAATGAGCAGTGGTAGACTGACTTAGCAATTTTAATTAACTTGTTTCTTCTGTAGGAGCACCTGAAAATTCAGAAGATGGTGATGGAAATTCTAAAACATCAAAGCCTTCAAATGTATCAGAAGAGGAAGAAGCTCAAGAGAAGACTGAGAAATTTAAAAATGAAGGTTTTGATGGTAGTGATGAAGTGATAACACTTCTACCAAATAGGGAAGATAACAGAGATTTCACATCTGGAAATATTCCTGCTGGAGTTCAAGAGGATCTGCAGGAACCTGACTTTTACAAATGTGCAGATCTCAACCAGGAGACAGATGGTAAGTGAGGAACCAAACCAAACTGAGGATGCAGAGGTGATGAGCCAAACTCTTGTCTTAGTGCAGCCTCTGCTGATGCACAGATAAGAACATTCCATTGGATTTCCACAGGGCAAATCAAGCAATACTGGATAAAATATTCTTTAAATACAACAAACAAAAAAATTCTGAGGGCTTAACCTGCAACTTCTGCAACTTAAAGGTGGAACTGCACTTCTCCCCCATGCCAGGTTTAGTGGCAGGACAGGCTGCCCTCAGTGCCACTGTGCAGTCTGTCTGCCAGCAGAAGCTGGCCATCCCTCCAGAGATGGTCCTGTGCCTTCACACCTGGGAGAATGCTTTTACAGATTGTGGAATACATTATTGCCAAATGAAAGTATTAATCTATACAATATAAGATATAAGAGAGACCAAGAATGTGATGGAAGGACAAAGTGCTGGGTTCAGCTGTGAATTCTCAGTGGTGCTCAGGTCCCCAGCAGTTTGGTTCTGCAGTGCTTGCCCTTGCAATATGGACATTTTTGCTGAGTGAGTTCTCTCCAGCTGATTGTTTGTTCTTTAGATCTCCCAAGAAAGAAGGCCGTGCCTCCTGCAGGGGATGAACCTGCTGAAAGCGAGCAGTCCCAGGTGGAGACACTGGAGGAACTTTACCTTGATGTATGTACTGGATGGGGATGTTGGGAAGTTCTCGTGTGGGTATTGTCTTCTCCAAGGTCATTCCTGTAACATCCTGGCCAATAAAACTGTATGGCCAGGTTCTTAGGGAGCTCTGCTATTAGAAAAGGAAAAGGAACCCAAAAGGTAAAGTTGCAGAGGTGTTTATTCTGTCCAGTGCAGCATATATAAAGAATTTACCACTGCTTCCAAAGTTCATTTTACCCTTAAAATTTTTGTCCTATAAGTGCTTTTGTCCTATAAATCACCTGAAGTTGACCTCCTATCTCTTTGATTTCTCTGGAGAAGTTAATGAGGGCTCTCATTTAAAAACAAATCACATCAAAAAGAATCTAGTAGATATGTTTGTCCTCTTAAGCAACACTCAAATGAAATATGCAGTTGAAAATGTGAACTATAGCCGAAAAAGCATAAGGAAGAAATGTTACCTATCAGTATCAGTATTATAAATTAATTCTCAGTATGGAACTTGGAGGTCAATTTCCAAGAAAAGCAAGATTATTCAGGTATATAATAAGTAGTTGACATTTGTAGTATGGTGCTGTATTACCTAAGACTGCTGTCTGGTGATGCAACATTTAAACATGTTTGCCACACTTAACCCTTGGGAGGACATGGATAGCACTGAAAAATGCAACCTCCCTGCAGAGGGAACTGCTCAGTGTGTCCTGACAAGGACCCTGCTGCTGCACTGACAGTGCCCCACTGTGACATAACCAGCAACAACAAACTTCTGACCTCAGGATTTCCCAGAGCACTTCATGTGCTCTTTGATACCTTACCCTGGCATGGTTAACTCACTACTGGCAGAAAAGTCTCTTATCTTCGCCATTTCCCAGGAAAAAAATGCCACGTTACCGAAGGGCTCAACCCAGTGCTTCGGTAGAGGGTTTGCTGCTGCCTCCTCCTGTTTGGCTGTCTTTAATAACAGGTTTAAAAAACACAGTGGAGAGAACTGGCAACAATTCAAAGTATAAACAACGCTATTTTCAAAAGCAGCTCTTGCAGGGTCTGCAGTAAAGGCTTTACATCTGTAGTGATACTGCAGGAACCCACCATGTGAGGAACTCATCAGTTCAGGGTTTGGTTTTGCCCTGGTGCTCTGTGGCACCACAGGGAGCTCCTTTGCGTGAGCTGTAACACAAAGAACTCTCCAGCATGCACCCAGGGGAGGTTTTTAGGCTCCTAAACAGTGGGCTATTTTAATTCCACAGAAGAAAAGGCAGGCCCAGATTACACACTAATGCACATTTCTGTTCCTTTGCTGCTTTGTTCTCCAGCAATGTTCAGTAACAGCAAGAGCCTCTCCCAGCACCAACCTCCTGTACTTACATTACTGCAGATATTCCAAGGAGTCTGAGAGCTGACATAGCAGGGAATGGCTGGGAAGGTGCTGATGGTGAGGAGCTCTGGAGCTGTCCTTGTTCCTCTCCTGACCGTAGATGGTCTCAGGAGTAATAGAGGGGAGGAGAGTGGAGAGGATTTGTAATGTGGTGGTTATGACATCCCTTTGTCAAGCAGAAGCAAGCTCATGTTGCTGCACATGCCTTGGCAGTGTTTGAACCACATTCCAGGTACCCAAGTCAGGATAACTTGCAGTAAGTGAGTTTGGTTTGATCTGCAAATGCACCCTGCTGACTGAAACAAGACTAACAGCTATTTCATCTCCTATTGACACCAAATTCCACCCACTAACATTAGTCTCAGATCTTAGGTTGTACTTTTTTAATGCTGTTTTTATAAAACTGTGACTGCAGGACATGCTGCACCAGCCACACCTGGGAGAGGAGCACAGTGTGGTGCTGCTGGCTGTGGCCTCACACCCTGACAAGCACTGCCTTGGAGGAGATCCCAGTGAGCCACAGGGGTCGTGTTTCATGGGTTACTGATCACTGATTCAGGATCTGTCATTGTTTCAGGAACTGCCTGATTTAGAAGATGTAGATGTAACCGAATTTCCCCCAGAAGAGGAGATCTTTGTTCAGAAGGTAACATTTCTATTAACTCCAGGAATGAAACTTCCCTGAACACATGCACAAATGTTCTGCAAAGTGAGGATAATCTAAGCTGTGAAATGCTGGTTTGGGAGGTGCAATCAGTTATGCATTTATAAACTAAAATGGATGGTTTCAGCAGATCATATCCACTTGTAAATCTTTTTTTGTTTTTTTATATTATTTTATAGCAAAAATAGGAGAATGAAAACCTAAGATCAAGTAATGCACCAGTTACGTAGGTTTAATTTCTTAGTAATAACATTATAACATGTAATTTATAATGAAGATTACTCTTAAAATGCACTTTACCAGTACTAATATGCTGCAAAGGACTGAATAGAGAGAACAAAGCACCTGGTGCTGAATAAAATCTGACATTTCAGCTGAAAACACAGAGAGATTGAACCTCCTCTGCTCCACTGCAGGCCAGTCCTCGTCCACATTAGCACTTTGCTTGGCTCAAACCAATCTTTTAGGCAAAAGCCCAGAAACAGAAACAGAAGGGGCCAAAAGAAGGCAACAAAGACTAAAAGCCCAGTTTTGGCTCTCATGCCAATCAAAGAATCACCCTGGCCATGCTGGAGGCAGAGGCTGGTACATGTTCCTACAGGTCTCTCCAAGATAACTTTTCCAAGAGTCAGCATAAGGCAGGGAATTTATTTTCTCTTTGGGTCACAGAGTCGTAACAGGGTTGCAAAATGTCTTGGCCAACAAAGCCTCCAATTACCAGAAGGCCAGGGAAGGGAACACGGGATTAGTGAAGGAGTGTGTGTTAGCAGCTGTCTTGCTCCGAGGTGCTCAGCTCTCAGCTGAAGACAGATGATGTCAGTCAGGTTTGCAGCCCACACTCTGCTGAGCTGCTGAACCAGATCTTTTTGTGAACTGTTACCAGTTTATGGTCAGTTGGTCACTGCAGGCTGGGAAACAGGTAACCCATGGGCCATCCCTAAAGCAGCAGGGCTGTGGGTGCAGCACATCTTCCCTGCACTGCAGGAGAACAGCACATCACAGCTGACAACTGTGACATGGATCCAAGCCATAGTTACCCATCCTTCAGCTTTTATATCAGAGAACAGTATGTTTTCAATTACCTTTTCTACCTTTACAGCAGGACTATCACCCAAAGATTGAAATCATTTCTGAAGTGACAAATGACAGCGATTCTGCATTAGAGGAAAACAATAAAAGCATGTTTGAGAAATCACTAGAAGAAGTTCCAACAGCAATTTTTTCAAATGTGTGTAAGAGCCATAAAGAGAATGAAGAGGAGGAGCACTTAAGACCCCTTCTTGAAAGCTTCTTTACAGAGCCTGCTAATTCAGAAAGGCACCTGGAGATCAAAGATAAAAAAGGAACCCCCTTGAAACCCCTGATACAAGAGGTGGTCACTGGGCCCAAGGACCATCTGCTGTTGTCACCAGTCTGCCATCAACCAGATGACCCAAGCCCATGGGAAGAGGATGGTAAGATTACAGTGACTTCTCTAATCACAGAGAAAAAGGTGGGTGGCACATGCACACTAAAAGTAAGGATCTGTTCAGCTCTCGTTGAAGATTGCTAAGTTACAATCACCTCTTCCTTTTATTTATGTGGGAATCCTAATCAATTAGGAATTACAATGGTATTTTTTTCTACAGAGGATTTCTTGCTGAGTTTCATTTAAATGGTTTTAAATGTTTCTTTTCTCAGTATTAAGGACCAGCAGTGAGCTTTATTTGTCTGGTACCTTTGTGCTCTGACAGGGAATGGCAGTGATGGCGAAGCACAGGGCCTGGCTGAGGGTGAAGGATGTCCCCACGAAGCACCAGCTGCCAAGGACACTGAGGGTGGATTGGATTAATCCCTTTGGAAAAAAAGATGGACCACATCTGGAGCCCAGCACGTGGCTGACTGCAGGGAGCACCCCAAAGTGTGGAGCCCAGCAGTGGGACCATCAGAACTGACACCACCCAGAGATACAAAACCCCCCCCGGCTCCTGGGGCAGGAGGCTGCTCACTGCTGTGCAAACCACTGCTCTGAGGGTAAATCCCAGGCTCCTGTTCTTGTGCCTTTGCATCCTTCTAGGAATTACTTAGTTAAATGTTAATGTCTCAGGTTTCAGTACAGATGTAGTTTCAAAGCAAAATGTTACGACTATCTGTGATTTGAACTAAATAAAGATTCTGCTTGTAACCACACCCTGTGAGAGGTGGCCTCATCGTCAAGGGCTGACAATGTTTTTGTGACACAACAACCACCACAACATCAGCAATGGCCTAAGCTCTGAGTGACCTCCCTTCATTGAGCCCCACCCAAGTTTAGGCGAGTGTCTTTTTTCATTTTTCTATAAATCCTTAATAATTCGTGATAAATAGAATTGTAGATGTGCACATTTGAAGAAATAAAATATTACTATGGGCTTGTTGAAAAGATGTGTTTCCAGTCAGCTGGGCTTAGGTGCCATCTGGTGGCAAGCGAAGTAGATCTCACAGTGACACAAAATAATTGTAAAAACCCTCAGGGAAGACAACACAGTTGCTTTAAATTTCAGCCATTTTCCACTTTCCATGGATTAAAACATGCTGGTAAAATCCTTGGCCTCCAGGACAGGGCGGGAGGGTGAACCAAGGGCCTGTGGAGAACAGGCTTGGCTGAAAGCACCAGCAGAGGAATCTGAAATTTATCACTGAAAGCAAGAAAAAAGCATACATTAAAAAAAAAGGCAGCAAGTGGTTCCAAGATCCACAGATTCCTTTACTCTGATCCTGGTTTTATCAGATACACCCACCCTGACCAGCATTTCTGGAGAATTGAGCAGCTTTCTGAGCTGTGTTTGCCACATTTTACACATGAGGTGTCTCCAGCTCCTGCGTGTTCCCAGTGACCACAACCCAGCAGCAGGGCCTGTGTGAGCTCCCGGTGAATCTGAATGCTCACAGGAGATCTGCGTTTGGGAAGGAGAAAAGGAGTAAGGGCTGAAAGGAGTGAGAGAAATGCCAAAGCAGGACTAAATGAGAAAAAGGAAACATGTTTAATTAGTGTTTCTGTAAAACTTTACAAATGTACAGCATAGTGCAAAAGGCAGTCACATCACCTTCAATAAATGAACAGTGTAAAATGCTGAGGAACACGAGCTTGGCTCTTCACAGCAGAGCCTCCCGAATTCTCTTCCTGGAGGTTCCTCTCTCCCTGTCAAGCTCCAGTCCCACATTTATAGCAGAGCAGAAAGCCTAAAGAAAACCTCAAGAACCCTCCCGAGAGGCTGCTCCCCACGAGCCCAGGCTGCTTTGGAAAAACGTGGCAAAACTACTCAGGAGCTTGAAGTGCAGCATGTGCTTAAATACCGTGTTGGGTCAATACACTCAGTGTTCACATTTCAGCAGCCTGGAGGGTGGGAGTCCAGAGAAGGACGTGAATGTTGAACACTCGCTGTCGGGTGTCAGCAGACACCAGACAGTCCTCAATTATCTATGAGAAAGGAATTAAACAGAGTGCAACTCAACGACTTCCCATCGCTGGAAATGGCAAAATAGTGGCAAATGGGCTGATCTAGGTGAACTTTCTGAGCACAAATACCTTAAAAAGGAAAACCTTTTCCAGGATACACTCAAGCACATCATCTAAATACCAGGCCAGTGGGGGCTGCCAGAATTTTCCCTTAGTCCTGAACACAAAAACAGTGGCTGGGATTAACTCAGAAGCTCTCACACCCTGCTCCTGCACAGACTGCAGCACCGAGGCAGTGACAGAGCTCCCAGCACACAGCAGTCAGCTGGGGGGAAATGGGCTCAGAAGTGAACGTTTCTGAACTAACACATCTGTCCACATAGTGGTAAATGGATGGAGGAAAGGGCTGTGACAGGAAGGTCCATTTAAAACATGCTCATCTTTTTGTGATTTTGAGCCTGCACTCATCTGATTGATTGACTGCATTTTGGTGTGGATTCTGCTTGACCAAGATGCTCAGGAATACAATTTACAACCAAGAATTGTCATGGCAATGAACAGCTTACACCTCCCTGTCTAAGCCCTTAGGAGGCCTGAGTTAATTGAATTTCCTGGGTCTGTTCTACTGCAGTTGAGCAGCTTTCCTTAGGAAAAGCCACTCAGGTAGAGGATATTGAGATAAATAAGACGTTCTCATTAGAACTACAGCATAAAAAACAAAGCTCTGCTTTGTTGAGAAACTCAGTCATCAGAAACCACATGGAAGGGGAAGATCAGGTCAGCCTTTGGGGCTGCTCTCAGATGCACAAAGGACAGAAGAAAAGTTTGTGGGACATGGTGGACTAACCCTTCTGCTTCTCTCCTACACTGAGCAGCTGAGAGTCCTTCTAAAAAGGGGATCCAATCAATTGAACTGTTTAATCAGATTTTATACATCAATAAACCAACAGGCACATCTTCAGAGGAAATAGAACAGGTCAAAGCCAAGGGAAAAAAAAAACCATTGGACTGGACATGGAATACTTAGCCAGCACCAAAACCCAGAGTGTGCTCCCTCAGTCCCCTCTGCACATGAAAAATTGCCTGGGCAGAAGAGTCTATCCCTTTTTTGTGTTTTTTTTAAGTATGGAGTGCCCTGCCTTTATCTAAGAGAAAAGAAATCTGGGGCAAAACAAATCCCAAACAACAAACGCTCTCAACTCAGCGTGGGATGGTTTGTGGCCTGTGATGGTCTGGAGCTCCCCTGGGAGCCACAGTCCTGGGGGTCACTCAGAAAATGATCTTCTGCACACCCTGAGACATCTGTTTCCTCCTCACCCTAGGAGGACAAGGGAGAGGCACAGGTGCATCCCATCAAACCCAGAAAATGGATTTAAAAATATCTGTAGAGCATTAGATTCCTTTCCTATTTCAAGAACAGCATCAAGAAGGGTCAGGCATCTTAGCTAATCTGTGCTGCCCCTATAAAATCCCACAGTTTGCCAGACACTAGTCAGAATCACTATTTTATGAAGTCCCAGATGGACTTTCAAGCTACTTTCCACTTAAATTTTATGAGAAGTTTTGAAATTTCTAAAAGCATTTTCAAGAAAAAAAATCCTGCCAAGTTCTCACTCCCCCTAGGAGCAAGCACCAGAAACAGTATTTTGTTTTAAAAAACACTGACAACCAGATGCAGGGAGAGCAATGCAACAGCTACCAACCATTTCCATCTACTCCAAAAAAAAGGGCACAAAAATAAACTCTCTGTTGGGTTTCTGAGTCACTTTTGTTTCTTTACATTCAAACCTGTGGATGCTTGGGTGGGTGGGAGGGAGATGATGGTTCCTGGAAGCAAAATCACTGGCTGTTGTCTGTGGAAGAGCTCAGGTTTAAAGGGATGTCCCCTTGGACCCCCACAGAGGACAGGTAGGAGGCCACATTTTCAGATGGAACGTAGAGGGAGGAACTTTCAGGCAAGCTGAGGAGGTCGTTTCCGAAGAGGGACTGACGGTCGAGGAGGAACTGCTGGGCACTTTCCAGAATGACATCTTTCCCTGGGAATGCAAACACACAGGGGAAAACTCAGCTTCTGCAGGGCAAGTTACCCAACTTTATTGAGCAGAACTGAAAAGGGACAAATCCCCACTGCACCAGCAGTGAGGAGCCTCACTCCAGGCAAAAATCACTTGGAAACACTTGAGTCAAACTTGGACTCCCTCAAAAGCCCCTTAAAATCATGGGAATCTCTGCAGGTCACCAGGTGGGTTCTGCCTGGATGCTGAGATGCCTCACAGAAGTGAAGGAGGGATGACCAAATGGTTGGAGACACTGGGAAGTGGAAGAGAGCAGCTTTCCTTCTCCTTCACTCAAGACCTGTCTGGTTTTCCTCCTCTTTGCAGAAGGACACCTCTGCCAATTGTCCCATTATTCCAGCATCCCACCACTGCATGGGCCAGAAGGGCTTTGCAAACAGGAGATGCTCAAGGACTCCTTCTGGTGTAGCTGGGCTGCTGTGGCAACATTGCTGACTGGCAATCATGGAAGTAAAATAACAACTGTGGGCTGTTCCCTCCCCTGGCAAACAGGCAGTGCTGGCACTCTGAGCCCCTCAGTGACAGCCTTGTGCCCACACTGCCGCTCCTACCTGGGCAGGTGTTGCTGAACGGGGGGTTGAACACTTTTGGGGGCAGCTCAGTTGCATTCTTCTCCAGATCCACTGTGAGTCGCTGCATCTTGATGCAAAAATATAAACTACAATGTACAATTATACAAAGACAGGGGAGCTCGTTAGAACGAGGCCACTTGGGAGCGTCGGTGCCTCAGCAGGCTCCCAACACCCACCAGCACCAGCAGCCATCCTCCCAGCCTCACCTGCACCTCGGAAACACCCCAAACCACGGGCTCCAGGGCACATCTGCCTGAAGGAGAGGTTCAGGGAGGTGCACTCCCTAATTAGCACCGGCTGATATGGCTCATGTCACCCGAGGCAGCCAGGCTGGTGTTGCTGTGGCAGTCCCTGCCCTGCTGCCAAACAAACCAAACCCGCAGTCCTCTGCAGCCAGCAGCAAAGCAAAGGCATTTTCTTTCCATTTGCCTGTGACTGTCCTTAAATTAAGACTAGTTTTTACTTGCACAGTGCACAGGGACCTGCTGCAGGTATTGCTTCCAGGCTTCTCTGTGCTCGTGGCTTCCTGCAGGACAAGCAAATCTAAGGGCAGGCTGCACCAGCTGCTGGAAATCCAGTGGCTCCAGCACTGCACTCCTGAATCCTGCAGCCTCCTTCCCTGGCCTTTCCTCTTCTGCAATCCCTTTTAAAAGGGAAGAGCCCTTGCTTCCAAGAGTTGCTAATATTATCTATCTCTTCAGACACTCTCCTTCTAAACTCAGGCAGTGCAATTACCTAGGAAATTCAGAGTCATTAAATCAAACCCTAAAAAGGACGTTGATACCACCAAGATGGCTTAGAGACCTTTCACACTTCATTAGAGTAGATTACACTTGGCTTGTGCATCTGTAGAGATGGCAGAACCATCCAACCCTTCCTCCAACTTGGCTGTCAGTGAGGACTCTGACAATTCACCCTCTATCACGCAGCCATGATACAACCCAGCCATGACACGTGCTCCCAACCTGAACACTTCTGTGAGCCCAGGGTTCCCTTCACTGCTTGTTAAATTACCACACACACTTCAGAAATGTCTGTGTCAATGGCACTTCCAAACAAATGCTGCCAAACAACTTCTCCTTGTTCTTCATGTACAGGAATGCACGAACCTCTATCCTAACTGCATGTGGTTTTACTGCTCCTGAAATGTTCACAGACAGCTGCACTTTACAAAGGCATATTTGTAAAGAGCTTTGGCACAAAGACACTGGAAGAATCTGTGGTATTAGTAGGATGTGACACTCACACCAAGAGAAAGTTTAGAGCAGCCAGCTGCAATTAAAGACTCTGGGACACCAACACTCAGAGTTTGTCTCTAAGCAAAGTCTGGCTGAGTGGGAAAAACAGGTCACAAGTAAAATCCAGCACTCTCAGCCTGCCCTCAGGAGATGTGTTTGTGCTGTGCTTTACCCCCTCTCCCCTCTGGCTATAAAATAACTCCTCCAGTTATGCACAGGCTCTGCTTTGCAGTTACATTATTATCTAAACAACCTGGTCTGGTGGAAGGAGTCCCTGCCCATGGCAGGGGGTTGGAACCAGAGGAAAGTCAAGGTCCCTTCCAGCCCAGGCCATTCTGTGGTTCTGTGGCTGTTATTTGCATAGGTCAGAAATACTCATCTCTTACCGGGGACAGGCTGGCCTCCATTTCAGTCACATTCCACTCGCTCAAAGACAAGTTGGGATTAAAGACCTGTTGGGAGACAAACACAGTCAGGGCTCTGAAAGGTGGGCTGGTGTGAGGTGGCCACGTCCTCCCCCGGCTGCTGGGGGGTTGTAGCCCTGCCCTGAGTGGAGCTCCAGGCACAGGCTCCCTGTCCTGGCTGGCAGCACAGCCAGAAGAGCCTGGGCTAAGCCAGGGCACCTGTGCTGGTCCCAGGCCCTGCTGCTGCCCCTGCAGGGACAGCACAGACACCTCGGGGTGCCACGGGCCAGGGCAGCTCTTTGTGCCCCTTCTGCACCGCTCTGGGCACTGCCAGACTCATGGGGGCTTTCAGAGCATTCCAAAACCTGGCAGAGGGCAGTTCCTGCTGCATCACTGCTGCAGGGCAGTGAGTCTGAGCAGTCTGGGAAAAGGAGCTGTTGATCTGGGGCAGAGTTTCGTGATTCATCCTCACTCTTGTGACGTGAGTGTGTGGGTAACAGGAAAATGAGAAACATCTCCTAATGAGAAACAAGAAACAGGAACCAACAGAGCCAGTGATAGAGCAGGCCATTAGAAATGCTGTCTGTAAAGTCAAAATCAATCACAGACACTTGGGAAATGAGTTGAAGAGAATAAGATCGATTTTCTTCAATGATTTTTCATTCCTGTTTATCCATGCAAGGTTAAAATGTGCCTGTAACTGAAGCACCTCCTCAAGGGAGCACATCTTTGACATACAGATTCTTTCCTCATGTACAGAGTTATTTGATTATTGGCAAAAGCCTTTCATACACTGACTATTTGTACAACAACAGAGAAATGAACAAACCTTCCTATTTCTGCATGTACAGCCCAAGTAAAAGCCACCATTTCTAAGGAAAGGTGACCTGAGAACTGAGGCAGGTAAACACCTCAGCAGAGAGAGTTTGACATCAGCTCCACTTCCCAGAGTGAGGGGAGGGCAGTAAAAGCTAAACACTGTCTAGGAGTATCTAAGATGCAGAAAATAAACTAATCCACACAAAGTAATTACCAAAGTCGCTAGAGAGTCACATTAAACCTGTTTTACATAAATTTGTCAGGGCTTATGTTGATTTCTTTACCACATGCACTGTGTTTTGTGCTCTGAAAGTTCAAATATGTGTATTTGCAGTGTAAAAAAAAAAAAGTATCATTTAAATCTGAGATCCTGCTGGTTCCTGTGAGCAGGTCAGAACGGGGCTGTGACTCCACAGGCAGCCTGTGGCAGGTAAAGTGCCACACAAGAAGGAGCAGCACGGTCTGATTTCCAGTCCAAGGCAATCACTGACACTCTGACAGCCCCCACACCCCAGCAGCACTCACATCCAGCAGGCTGGCAGGCTCCAGCCCGTACTGCTGGCTCCTCAGCAGCAGCTGCAGCCCCTCCAGGCTCCAGTCAGTGCCCTCCAACGGGTCTGAAATATCTGTTCTGAGGAAACACAACGGGAAACGCTGCCACAAAGGAATTTGCACAGACATGTATCCAAAGCAGGACTGAGCAGCCTCCCAACAGGGTGCTTGTGTTTAAATCTCATTTTGAAACCAAGAGCCCGCTGTCAGTCCGGTTCATGCCATGTAGCTTGGTTTAATCCCACAAGTACAACTCAGCAGAGCACACAGGGGACTGGGCTGATGGTAAAACAAGTGAGAGTCCCCCTCTCCTGGGTGACACATGTGGTTTGGGGGTGGAGAGTGTGCAAACATCTCCTCAAGACTGGGAAAATTAAAGCTTTCCTTAGGGGAAATCCTTTTAGAGGCACTTGAAACCAGAACAGGCTGCACTGCCATCCTTATGGATCCAAGAATTACTGTTAACTGATGCTTTATAAAGGAGTGACTTTTAGCTGCAGGCATTCAGCCTGCAGGCTGCATTTACTTGAAATACTCAGCTAAAGGAGCAACAGTGTGGCCCTGCTGGGTTTAATCCCCCCAAAAGCTATAAAAGAATGTCTCTTAAACTCAGATCTTTAAAAAAGGATTATTTTTCCTCTAATAAAATGTTCTGAAGTGTCCAGTGGATTCAGAAGGAGGATTTTGATTCTCTGTAAGGACCTAAAGGAAAATGGAAGCTTTTCTGATAACTCTAAAGAGTGTTTTGGGTTCCCCACCATTCCTCCCCAGTCCTCCTTACAGTGTTGCAGTTGCCATCAAGAATGAATTGCAGTTGCACATCACCCACCAAGCTGCACCATGCTTTCCTTCTGCTGCTGAGGTCTCCTGGACACTCAGCCATGACTTCAGTGCTGCTGGGATTCCAGTCTCAGCCCACAGCTGCAGAGGTGGCTCTGGCTGAGCCCAGTGGCACTGTGCTGATGGCCCTTGCAGATGAGCAGCACAGCTCAGTGTCCTGCCAGCCTGCAGCACAGATGCTGGTCTGGGCTCCAGCTTCCACCTGGGCCTTGGGTAAACCCCCCTCACTGCAAAGAGCCTCCTCCTGCTCCCCTGGTTCTGCTGCACATCCTCTGGCAGCTCTGCTGGCTCCTTCAAGCCAGTCACCCCCAGAGCCCATCCTCTGGGAACTGTCCCTGGCGCTTCAAGGCTCCTCTAGCAGGTGCCACGGGTACCAGGCTGCACTTGGCAACTTAGAGTCCCCCTCCCTCCCTCCTTCCCTCCTTCCCCACCACGAGTGGGCAGGAACAGCCCTGCAGGCGGGCAGGGCCGCAGCTCCCCTCGCTGCCTCACCTGTCCAGCAGTGCCCTCCTGCCCCTCCTCTCGGGCTGCTGGGAGGCCCCTGGGGGGGCAGCACAGCTCCCCTTGCCCTCCAGGACAGACTGCACCATGGCCACCGGCAGCACCGGCGGCTCCGAGCAGGCCCGGCAGCCGGGCAGGGGCTCGGCCGAGGCCTTCACACCGGGGCTCACCGGCTCCTCCTTGATCAGCATCAGGCACTTCTCCCTGCTCCAGAGACAGGGGTTAGCACCTCACACTGCTCTGCTCCAGAGACAGGGGTTAGCACCTCACACTGCTCTGCTCCAGAAACAGGACACAGCACTACACACACTGCTCCAGAGACAGGACACAGCATCACACACACTGCTCTGCACCTCACACACTGCTCTGCACAGGCTCGTGCTACTGGGAAGGGCAGCAGCACAAGGGCTTGCTTCCACTTCCCCTCAGACTGCCCCAGAAGGGCTTTCCACTCCCCCCACGAGCAAAAGAAACCAGCAGCCTTGTTTTCTTTTCAGCAAGCTCTAGAAACCTGCTCAGCTGAGATATCTTCAGTCAATTCATTCATTGGTCACAGATATAATGAGTTTGGCCCGTTCAATTCTTTTGCAAATATGGAAAGTGCATGGGTTGATCACTCCTGGGATGAGTGTTAGGTTAGAGGGTCACTAGTCTCCACCCTGGAGATAGGAATGGAATCAGTAAGACCTTCCCATGCAGGAGCTAGGTTTGGACCAGCAAGCGTTCTCGAGATCCCAGTGACACAGGTGGGGATCCTGTGGCCCTTCAGGACCTGGAACAGAAGCTGTGAGGATCTGACAGTCAGTCAGTTTTACTTGTTTGGAGGTTTGCCTTCTTCCAGTGGGAGAGGCACTCGGTGTTATTTCCAGATGCACATGTAACAATGAAGTTTTTATTGGGAGCATTTTGGACGTACAGATCTGCTCTACAGTGCTTACAGGGGATTGTACAGCTCCCTGTGCACCTGCAGAGCTGAAGCCAAAATGACAAAGGCACGTAGATCAACAGGCACAGGGCAAGGAAAGCCATTCTGACAGACTGTTATCACACAACACTCACAGACCTGCTCTGCTGTGAGACAACACCATGTCACACACACAGGATGGTGTGTGACACTACAGAGCCTTCCTCAACAGCCCTTTCTGACCATCTTCTCCTCTCGAGGATTCTCAGCTCCCAGCAGGAGCTCATGTTGTTTAGCAAATACCACATCTGAACTGATTAGGGCCATGGCTGGCTCAGATTCTCAACTCATGCAGACACAGCACAGATCAGAAGCCACCAGATGGCACTCAGTAAGTAGTAGAAATAAGCAACTTAACTTGAAGATTATATTAAAGTTTTTCTGCTTTAGAAATGGCTTCCAGGGTTGGTTGTTTTTTGTTGGTTTTTTTTTTAATCTGAGGCTCTTTACATGCTTCTAGCTAATTTTATGGCTATGGTTTCAATTATGTGGCAGATTTACAGGCAATTTCTAGAGTATAACTGCCTTGCCTCTACGCCTCAGAAACTGTTTCCATGATTCATCTGTCTACTTACTTTCCACTGACATAGCTGTAGCTATTCTGCTATTAGCCCCAAACACACTGCATGTCTGTGGCAGGAAGAGATAAGCATTAAAATACCTCTGCATTCAGTTCTTAAGTTACTGGGGCCTTTTCACAGAAAAGTTGTCAAAAATCGGAAGTTGTTGTGATGCAACCCTTCTGTTCTCATTAGCAGTGAGATGTACAATTTGATTGTTCCTTCTTTGCCAAAGCCAAAAGGAAACACTATTTCTCTCTCTCAACAAACCTGACAAGTGTTAGTATCTAATTATTTGACTAAGTCTGAGACAGCCCCTGTCTTGAGGACAAAATAGAACATTTCTCAGAGAGTGGAAGCTCTCAGCATGAAACTCAAGACTTTTTTCTGAAAGTTATGCTGTTATTACCCCTCTCCTAATTCTGAAAATCTGACCCACTTTGCAAACTGGAAAAAGTATTTCATCCCACCATCTCTATAGAGACTTGTGTATCAGACAGAAACTCTGGTAGAATTACAGCTGAGAAAAACTCTTGTGAAGAGTTGCATAAGTGTGTCCAGACCTGGCTCTCCTTGTTTTTAATCACAAACAAACATGTTTACCTGTCATTTTCAGGAGGGGGCTGCATATTTATTATGTTGGATGGTGATGCTTCAGTGACATCAGATATGATGGGTCCTCCCGCAATTCCAGGGCTGTTTAAGCAAGAGGCAGGTTCTGTTGATGGCTGAAAGAAAGCAAAAATCATACAGATTTGTCCTTCTGAGCCCCAGAACAAGTTCCAAGGCCCTGACATTGTTAGGGTTTACTCACTGGGACCTTGATTCCATCCTGCACGGAAACCAACCAAGCTCTGACCAGCTATGGAACATCACGATTTCCTCTCACCTTTTCTCGGACTGCACCGAGGTACAGGTGTGAAATGAGCACTGTGACTCAAGTGTCAGCTACCAAGAGGTTTCACCATGTCTGACATTCTGCCTAGACTGCTCAGCTTCCTCTGGAGGGAGAAATTCAGCACAGCCCAGCAGGGCAGGATGGGTCTCCCGTGCCAGCCCACGTACATTAACTGCAGGACAGGAGTGTCTGTTGTCTGCTGTGGTGGGTGAGGGGGGTGCTGGGGATCCCTCAGCAGATACAAAAATCTGGCTCTGGACAGAAAGATCATAGTACCCACTTTCAGAACACACTTCTTCCTCTTTTCCCCTGAGGTGAACCAGGCTGGGGTAACACCAGGGAGAGTTTGGTGTACAGGGTCCACCTTTCCCCTCACAGCCCACGGCCTCCCACACAAACATGGCAGCAGGAGCACATACAGGCACCCCTGAAACTGGGGAGCTGAGGAAATTATAAATGTCACTCAGCTTTGCAAACCTATTCTTCACTGCCAAACTCTTGCCAAATTACTTACTCCTCAATTTCTGTTATTGCTCCAAGCATTTCCCCAGCCTGGCCCAAGCAATCCCACAGAGGCCACTACAAACCTACCGACTGTATGAAATAGGGGTCGTGGAGCGGCTCTGCAGGCAAGTGCCGGCTGAACTTGGACACGGGGGGAGCTGACATCCCATTGTCAAGCATCAGAGGTCTGTGAGGAGAAACAGGTTTGTTGTGCAGCACATACTGACTGGCTCCTGGTTGCTCATACAAGAAATGTCTCTCAGCCAAAGGCTCTTTTCCCCAAATACTCTGTTTTTCCTCACCTTTCTTGTCCAGTTTTATGGACAAGAAAGGGAAACCAGTTTTGTAGGAGGTCACCATTAAAAAAGAACATTACCATATAGAGAAGGGATGGTCCAGATTTTCTAGATCTTATTTGAAAGATGCCAGGAAAACAACAAATTCAATTCATACCTCAGTGGTTTCAAGCTCTAGGCTGGATCCTCAGCTCGTTTTACTGGAGGTAGTTATGCTGACATGATTAGTGCAATACTGGGAATCTGACCTTCTTACAACTCCCTCACCCTCAGAGCCCCTCTGGCAAAACTGCATCTCCATACACAGCACTTCATAAAAGGAACACTATTGCCACTGCTGTGGTGACCCTATAAAACTGCCTACAAAATTCCTTTTCTCCACAAGCACCAAAGGCACAGTTGCTTTCCTAGAAGGCACTAACCTTCCTCTATTCACTTGCCTGGAAGAGCTTATCTGAAGACACCCTTTGGCTAAACTGTTCCCCACCTTCCTCTCTGTGGTTACATGACACCAAACCTGTGTTGGATAACACCACATTCAGTGACTGTGGGTCAAACTAAAGGTGTCCATGGGCTGGCTGGGCCCTGCTCCTACTGATGTCAGGTGGCAAAACTGGAGCCTGTAGGACCAGCAGCGGGGTCCTGCCCTTTCGTCTCCCACTGGTTAGCATTCCCATCTCCCATCAGGCTCTGTGTTGCCCAGATAAAGGTCGTGAGCTGACACGGTGCTTCTCTAAAGAGCAGTGAATGGGGATGTCAGCAGGTCTGACTCGGCAGTTCAGCCCATTCACTGCCCCCCCATGGAGCCCCGGTCCGGTGACCGCCCGCCCGGGCAGCTGAGCTGGTGCTTTTAGTGAGGGGTAGCATTGTGCACCCGTGAGCAGCGTGCTCCAACAAGGGTACTTACAGCTTCCTCTTTATCCCAGAGCTGCTGGGGCTGGATTGCAGCTGGCCAAACAGAAACTGAATCAGCTGTCAGGAGAGATCAAAATCCGGTGTTAATCAGCAGAGTGATTCAGCACTCCCTGCTCCCGCAGCCTTTCCTGTCTCACACATTCCTCCCTCCCAGCAGCACCCCAAAGCTGGGAGCAGCCATGAGATACAGGAGCCAAGCTGCACGAGACACTGGAGCCTGAAACAGAAATAACCTGTCCAAGGACTCAAACAGCCTGCCTGGCTCTCAAGGGACACGGCCGGGAGTCTGCTTTGTGCAAAGGCTGCTGGATCCACGTGCTCAGGGCTTTCTCTCACCACTTCTGTGCAAGCAGAACTCAGATGGTCCTATCAGACCTGGGAATAAGCCTGTGAATTGCACATGAAACATTTCTAGGCCTGAGTTGGACTCTGGTAAAGTCTTCAGAGATGTTTATAAGAGGCTCTGTAAAGTCTGACAAAGATTTTTCACATGAAAGAGGCAACTCATGAGGGGAGACCCCAATGGAGGTCTGAGCTCTTTCAGTTGAGTTTTTCACTCCTATGAGAACAGGGCACTAAAAAGGATGCAGAATGGCTCTGTAGAGGAATCACTTAGCAACATATCCCCAGGTCAGCTTGAACGTAATGCTCTGCTTTGACCTCCAAACAAAGAGAGCATTATTATTATTATTATATATCACAGCTGGCTCTTACTCACTGCTCAGTATAACAAAATAGAGTTGCATAAAAGCCTCCACAATGAGCTGTGGGGCTGGTGCAGCCTCAGAGCTGGAGGAAGGCTTTGATAGCCTCGTGCATTTCTGTCCAGTCCTATGACTCTGTGATGCCACGTGAGGGTCAGAACACGGCTCCTGGGCACTGGGAAAGGTGACGTGCTCAGTCATGGCAGCACCACCCAGGAATCACTGGAGAGGCCTTTTCTATACTGGTCATTCTAGATTTTTTTTTTAAGGGAGAAGGCATCACACTCTAGAAGGTTGTACAGTGATTCCTTGACTATACCTGTAACATCAGAAAATGTAATAGTCCCAGTGGGGGGATGGCTGGCCAGCGTGCCACCTGCAGCTTCGTGCTGGCAGGAGGGGGCTTCTCTCTTGCACAAAGGAAAGAGGAAGCATTTGGGAAGCTCAAAGGCATTGGTACAATCAGAACACAGCTCAGACAGGGCAATTAGTGACAGTTGTGCTCTCCTGCTCAGGACTTCAACATAAAAGGTGTTTCTAATATCACAGCAAGGACTGACAGGGAAATGAAAACCTTTTGCTCGAGGGGGTTGTCTGTGTTTTGTTAATGGCCACTTTCCATAGGACACATAAAAGTGTAACACAACTAAAAAAAGGGAAAATAAATATACTGCAATATCAGTGTGGAGATTATGGAACAAGAGGAAAGAATCAGAGGAGGACCCAGAGCAGGCAGGACAAGCGAGTTTGGAGTTCCTGTGACCACTACCTTGTTGATCACTTTCTGCTGCTGCGAGTGGTTCTGCCGGAGAGAAACAACTTCCCGCCAAAGAACTTCGTTTTGCCTGCAAGGGAAACAGACATTTTCTGTGAGCTCAGAAACGTCCCAACAGCCCAGTGTTCTGCCATGACCCCTCTGTGCTAGGTCTGTCTCACTCTGCAGCTCCTGTTGTGCTTGGCTCTTTTCAGGTGTCCCAAACAGGGTCACACAATTGCCCTCCTTGTTCTTCCTTGACCTCAAAAGAACTAAAGCCCAAAGCATGGAGGAAAAACAAATAAGGAAATGCCAGCGTTTATAGGGGAAGGTAACAAGGGAACACATGTGTTTAGTTTTTGTGGAACATTTGGGCCAAACTCAGAATTTCAGCAAGGCCTGATTTGCGACTGTGAATGATTTGGATCACCAAGACTATCCTTCCCCAAGAGCCAAAGAAGCCCAACCTCTCCACAACTGCCCCACTGACAGAGATCCCATGGACAGAGAGCCCCAGTGTATTCTACCTGCTGAAACCTCCTAACATGGTGCTACAAAGGCACGTTTGGGAGTGACTGGAGCAGCAGCTAAAGAGATGCTTCTGCACCTCAGAGCCTTGAACTAGGAGGACTGCAATGATCTGATCAGTGGGAGAGACTGATTTAACCCAGCACAGACCTGTGCTCACATTGCACAGAGAAAATCTGTTTTCTGTCTGCAAATGAAGCAGCACAGAGGGGAGCTTACAGGCTTCCTTGAACAGTCAGCCCCAGCAAGTGGGATGGGGAGATGCAGAATTTATTTCCTGTGCTGTCTCCAAATCTGGATGCTGGCCAAGTTCTGCAGAGGGTTTTGCCAGACAGTTAATGTCCAGAGTATATGGATGTACCAAAACTGTCAGGCCAGCAAAACCCATCGTACAGGTGAGACTGAGAAATCCTCCTGCTCTTTAGTCTTTCTAGTGTGGATGCTAGAAGTGGGAAGATAAGGTCCAGGGCTAGAAAGAGCAGAGCAGAGCAGCTTGTACAGCCAGAAGCTCTGCAGTGACCTTTCTGTGCTGGTACTGACAGGATTTTCAGCAAAGCAGTGTTCCTTAGGCTGACAGCTTATACTGGAGTTATGTCTAATGGTCCTTCATCAGTGTAAATTCCTGAACATGGTTCCAGCCTGGGATTTCTCCTCTGTCATAGTTTATAAAAATTGTATTCTCTTCATCATTTGAATGCAATTTTGCCTTTTGCCAGATGGAGGGAGGGAGCAAGCAGATCAGAAGGGAGAATAAATTAAAATCAAGGCCAAATAAATGATACTGGAATTCCTTAAGAATGAAAACAAATTCAAGTCTAGAAACTCATTGCCACTGTATGTGGATTTCACAGTGCCATCTCATGCATGGGCTAAGCGTGGGAGTCATTAAAAAATGATGTAGGATAAAAATATTTATCCATTGCACATCAGGTGCTGGGCTGGAATGAAATTTCCCGGGATGGCACTGTCTTCTGGTGCAGTGTGAATATCAGCTCTCATTATGAGGGAAAGGTCTGGGGTCTTTTTGATTATTCAAGTGCTTTTTAAACAAAGATCTCTGTAAAGATTAAAATTCTGGAGGCAAATAAGAACCTCTTCAAGTACATGATTTATAAAACCTTATCCATTTAGTAAGCTTCTAGTGACCATGTCTGAGTCAGAAAATCCCAGTCTCAGACAGCTGGAGGTCTGGCAGCCACATGCAGGAAGCATTGCATCTGCTTGGTTTGCTCTTACACAACAGCTCTGGCCGTGTCAGAAGACACCATCTCCAGAGATGAGTCCACGGACCAAACACTACAGCAGTTCTTGTGTTATATATTATAAGATACTATATTTTTTAGGTCAGTAAAGCAGATAAATTTTGGAGGTGGAGGATGGCAGAGAGTTATATTTTTATTTTTTTAATAGCTGGAATGGACTCCTCCATATCTCTGCCAAGGACTCTTCTACATGTGAGCGAGTTCCTTCTTTACCATCCCTTCTATCTGGAGGAAACAGTTATCTGAGTTCAGTCCCCAGATTATACACATATTTCCTACATGACCTCCTCGGTGCCCTCCTCATCTGTAAGGGGAGAACGTAAAGACAGAGAGGCTGAGCATTAATTCATATTTTGTAGCCCAGGTGTGCAGAGAAACTGTCCATGTTACTGTCTCTACAGGGCCAGTCCTGTGCTCAGCCCCTGGCTCACCACAGGCTCCCTGGGAGGGAGGTGTGTGAGGCTCCTCCTCCCAACCATTCCCCACAGTGCACAATTCCAGGGAAAGCAGCAGCCTGAGTAGGATCCAACTCACTGCTTCATGTCCTGCACTTGACACTCCATGTTCTCCTGCTGACTCCTCAGGATCTGCACCTCGTACAGCAACCTGCTCAGGTCCTCCTGGCGCATCTTGGTCTCCTCACTTTTCACTACTGACACCTGAGGAGAAGAGAGCAAAGCTGGATTTCACTCCTGCAAGAAGGGCCATGGGCAGAGAGAGTCCTGTGGGGGCTCAGGAGCAGGACTGTCACCAGCTGGGCTGCAGTGGGCTGAAACAACGTGCACAAGAGCCTGAACTGCCCTTACAGCACCACTGCAAGGGCCAAAGGGATAAAACAGAGCAAGGTGCAGGACAAACCTAATTGTACAGAGCATCTCCTGGCAGGAAAACATTCCCTGCCAGAGTGGGGACCTATTTCAAATCAGCCTGGGGGAATATAAAAGTATTTTGAGGACCAGGGAGGAACTGGGCTAGATTGTTTGATTTAATCTTTCTACTCTACAGAGACACCCAATCCAGCCTCATGTTTTCCAGGGGTGAGTCTGAGGTAATGCTTCAACTGACATATTACACTAAAAGGTTTTGCTGAAGTCTCTTTCCTGAAGTTCCTGTGCTAATTCAGTAAGAGAACAGCCCTTTGGGGGCATTTATAACAGGTTAAAAGGCAGAAAACAGAGGGCAGGAGTAGGTTCTCTCTTCTGTAAGAAAAGGAGATGGCTGCTGGGGTCCCTGCAGGAGTTATGCTGTATTTGTCTAGGAAAGTGGGTAACAATTCCAAGGCAGAGGGGTGGGAAGCAAGCCTGGCCCTGCAGCACTGTGTGGAGGTCCTGTGATACTGAGCAACAGAGCAAAAAAGCACAGACAAAACTCTGATGAAAGCCAAGCCCTGCACACCAAGAACCCCTGCCCCAGCTGCACATGCACGTGGAGAGGGCAGGAACGACCACAGGGTGATGCAGAGTTACACTGAGCTGGGGCACATCCCCCCTGCCCACCCAGCACCCCTCACCTTCCTCTTGATGTGCTCCAGGAGGTGCTCGTGGCCCTGCAGGAAGCAGAGGTGCTGGAACTCAGTGTCATCCCGCTCGGGCTTGACCAGCCCGCCCTGCTCGATGTTCACCACCTTCCTGAAGCCATCTGCACGAGAGGACAGGGCTGAGGGGCCACCAGACCCCGGCACCCCCTGCCCCCCACACCCAGCCATCTGCACGAGAGGACAGGGCTGAGGGGCCACCAGACCCCGGTACCCCCTGCCCCCCACACCCAGCCATCTGCACGAGAGGACAGGGCTGAGGGGCCACCAGACCCCGGCACCCCCTGCCCCCCACACCCATCGCTGCTGAGGATGTTTCTGTTCACCCTCCACACTTCTGGAGCTGCTGGTGCTCGGGGCACAGTCATGCCCTCTCACCACAGCTGGGCATCTTTTTGGGCCATATCCACAGAACCCCAGGGTGAGGGAGAGCCCTGTGCATGCCACTGCTGACAGCCACCCCTGCTGACAGCCCATGCCATGAAAGCCTTGCCACCATGGGCACCTTGGTCTTCCAGGAGCCAAAATGGCAGCTTTCAGAGAATTTCCAGTTCAATTTGCAAACCAAAGGGATTCAGGGGAAGGTTTTTCAAAGGCACAGACCATCACCAGGTGCCACTTTTGGAAGAAAGAGTCACATACACATTTGGAAATCTGCTTTGAGTATTGCTCTGAAATCCTGGAAATGTTTCTAAACTGTATTTAAGGACTGGCCTAAAATTTACAATAATGCTACTGCACAGTGAAATAGCTAAGTTAAAACTTGACTGAGGAACTCTGTAAATTACTCATTGACAAAATTCCAAGAACTACTGGAAAACAGCTATATGTAATACAGTCATGGTGTAGAAGTGGCTGAAAACTACACCTAAAACTCCTTTAAGGGGCGAAGATGTCTGATCAGCAAGGCCAGGTTTGCAGGCAGAAGTACTGTCCATTACTGGTTCAGGGGTACAGCTGGTGAATTGGAAAAGCTCTGGGCACACAACCCTCCAAATGCAGCAGTTCCTGGGGGAGGTGTCCCAGTACCAGGCTGCTGGAAAAGCTCCATATACAGTAAAATGAAAAATAAATAATAACAGGTCATCAACCTGATGCAAGAGAAGCAGAACACCTGATGGCTGAAAGTTCTCAGCTCAGATCTTAAACTGTAATCTAACAGGAATTTCATGCTGAAATTCGAGGTAAATGAGACCTCAGCTTTCTCTCCACAGTACTCTCCCGTGTCCCCTGTGCCACCCACCCGTCCTGCCTGTCCCCCGTGCGTGCAGGGCCCACGTGGCACTTACACATGTTCAGCTGCCGGACAAAGCTGGCCATGTTGTTGTGCTTGAAGTACTTGGGCAGCACCTCTTTGGCAAAGCGGCCCTGGTCGAACACATGGAAGCTGGTGCCATTCTGCAAAGGGGACAGGGACAAAAAGGAGTCAGAGGAGCATCCCTGAGCTCCAGAGGGGCCCAGGAGGAGTCCTACAGCGGGCAAGTCATGCTCTCTGAGTTGTCACCTTGAAGCTAAGAAGAGTGACAACAGCCCTTGGTGACAGCTCCTCTCAGTCCTGGTACAGTACTGCTCAGTGCTCCACAGCTGCAGCTTTGAGCTGTTTCTGCTAAGCTTTGCCAGTGCTAAGTTGTGAGATGTGGATGGGAGAAAGAAACCACTGACTTGTGTCCAAATAGCTGCTCGTCTGTGATCATCCTCCCTTGTGTGGACCCCACAAAAAGACTCTGGAGTCTCAAGAAGGCCCTGGAAAGTAGGAATTGCCATTATACCTCCTCCATCTGCTCGTTCAGCTCTACTCCAACACTCTGCTGCAGAGCATGGCAGTGCCAGGGCAGCACTGCTTGGAGACATGGCACAAGGAACACAGCAAGGCGAGAAACAAATCATCTCTGGAGACACCACACGAATCCAGAAGCTCTATGCACCTTTTCTTGATTATTTTTGAAAGTACACGGCCACAAGGGCAACCCACAGAATGTTGATGGTCATGCTCTGCTGTCCAAACTAGCAACACACATGTCAAGCAGATAAATTTCCATTTCTGGGGCTGCACTGTGAAGATCCATGACTGCAAACCAAGGCAAATGCAGCTGTGCATCCCAGCTGCACCCACTGATGGAAAATGAGGAGCACAAGGGTTTTCAGTACCTCAGCATCCCCCTATGACCTCTCTTGAGAGGTCACTCCTGTGAACTCAGGGCTGCAGTGTTCTCATGAGCTGGCACATCCAAAAGGGTTCCTGCAGCACAGGGGACTTGGGAGTCCCTGTGTGCTCACAATGAACTCAGCTTGTTCCCACACAGCAGCTGGGCCTTGTCTGTCTTACACAACCTGGGAGAAACTTTGAAAGTCTTCTCTGCCCAAAGCAAAACTGACTCTGCAGCATGACAATGGTGGCAGATGCTTTTCTTAACTGCTTTTGACAGCCCCACCATGACAGACACCCTGTGCTCTAACCAGACAAGTGCTACTCCAGGAATTTGCCAGGAGTTCTTCCTAACTGCATCTTCCATTTAAAAAGTTACTTGAATTACTTCCTGTCCAGTCTGCCACAGGCACAGAGAGCAGACTTTTCCTTTCCACCCAGCAGCCTTTAGTGTACATATAAACCATTACTACATTTCCTCTCTGTCTCTTCTTCATGCTAAGGAACAGTTCATAGGTCCTTATAAGTCCTATTTTCTGAAAGTTCTGATTACATCCAGCAATCTGAGGCATGCACACAATCTCTCAGCTCCAACAGCACTGACATATAGAAGATGAAGAATATGGGAAACATGGGAACCTGAAACAATGGGAAATTTAAACATCTAAAAACCTTACAAAAACCTCCAAGAAGGTGTTTGTAGCCTATGTTAGACTGCAGGAAAGCAGGGTATGGGGGTGGTCAGTCAGAACAACAATGTTCTAAGTGTAACAGAGAGAGGACTATTTGTACAGGTTAGAAGATCATTCCTAGTTTGAAAATCCTTATTTAAAACACACAGTACCAAAACTTGGTGGTTCTCAGAGGTATGACCATGTAACACCAGTATCAAAGCACAGACAGCAATGCAGTTCACATCCCATCTCAAGTTTTGAATGAAAAGTCTACTGGACACAAACACAGGACAGAAAGGCTGCTTTAGACCTTTTTTTAGCCCTCCCCTTTACATCTGATTTTGTTACAGATTCTTCATATGGGAGAACAAGTTTATGCACACAGCTTATCTGATAACTCCATACTGAAAACAAATCATGCTATTGCAGCAAGTCTCAGCCAGGTCAAAAGCACAGTGTGGTGGTATCAAAGTGCTGTCTGAAGGGAACAAATAAATCATTTTAATGCTGTGGTTGCACTTAGTATAGCAATGCCTCAGTGACATATAAGAAGCCAAAGCAAAGCAATGTATCCCTGTGAAGCTGTACAGACAATATAAACACACGTCACCACGATCATCACACAGACTCATTGGAAAATCAAGTTCAGCACTTACAAAATGAACATTCAGGGTGCCAGTCTGAGATCTGTTTAAGCTCTAGGTTTGAGTCTGAGATCTGAATACTATTTATCTGCTGCCTTGTCCCAAGACATTTGTGAAAGGCTGCTGAGAAACACATGTGAAATAATACAAACAGCACTGAAATTTCTTAAGGTCTTTGCATCTTCTCTAGAAAATTTTAGGGAGCAGCAGGTTCAAACAAGGTGAAAAACCTCTCTCTTGAAGAATCTGGAATTTTTAGAATGAGAACACCAGACACCTTCTAAATTGTTTCAAGTGAAGTGTGTAAATATTATTATTAAAACACTCCCCAAACCGTTGTCCCTTTGAAACAGAAAAGCCACAGTATTGCAGGCAAATAATAGCAAGTATACCCAAAAGGGCCCGTGGTGAACTGCCAGCCCCTGCACTCTGGGCAGCACCTGCAGAGCAAGGGGCAGCTGCTGTGCCAGGCACTGCCTGGGCTCTCCCTGCTGTTGCAGCATCAGCGACACCCGACGTTCACCGTACTCACAGAACTCCAGCAGATGAGATGGTTTGTTTCAGGATCTTCCACCAGCGTCCAGAGTTTCGTTAGGAAGGCTGGGACATTGCTGGAGTATCCATCCATCACCAGGGAGCCGGGTGAATCCTGCATAGTTCCCCAGGGGCCCAGCTACACTAACCCCATGGCTCTGCGCCTGCCTCGCCGCACGCGCCCGCGTCCCGCAGACACAGCCACCCAATTTTATCCCAGGCCAGTGCAAAGTAGGCTCCAGGGAGTCACATCAGCAGTGCCGCTCGCACTCTTCAAAACTCAGCACAATGCGATGGCATCACCAGCCCGGAGAACAATGCACAGAATGAAAATGCACTGCAGCCGATCTCGCAGCGCTGTGAATAAACACGCAGCGTCATGCAGAGGAACACGTGCTGCCCACCTTCTGCTGGCAGGGGAGCGAGTCACCGCAGGGAACCCACCTGCCCAGGGCCTGGGGGATGCCCAGGCACAGCAATGCCAGGCTTGTGAAGGCATCTGAATTCTTATTTTGGAATTTTCTTGCCCTGAGCTTCGGCTGGCGTGGATGAACAAGGGCTGGCCAGGCCTCAGGGCTGTCAAAATTGTAAGCTGGTTTGGCTACAGATGCCATGTTATTTGTCCACAGAAATTATTTGTCTCTTGGGTGAGAAGAGAGGGTGCTAAAAACATCTACATGTAGAATCTAATATGCTTTTATTATTCATATAAATGTTTTAGGTAGCTCTAAATACACGCTTGCAGTGCAGCTTAATTTCTACTCAGAAACTGCTCTTCAAATAACATAATAAAATGTAGAATCAAAATTAAATTGTCCTGAGTTCCTTAGCAAAAACTTGCAAAGGCTAAGCTTGACATGCCTGCTAAAAAATGAAGCAGAGTTCTTCTCACCTGATGCCTGCAAAGTCCCTCAAAGCAAAACACCAAAGGAGTCAGGAGGTGAGAAGAATCAGCCACCAGAAAGACCCTTTAGATAAGTAAGATACAGGATGCCAATTCAGTAACTTTCCTCTGCCATTTTCAAAAGGCAACTTGGAACGATGTATCCAAGAATGTAATATTTCCCCTAGAGCCCGAACCAGCAGCAGCAACTGAAACAACTCAGCGTACAACCCAAATGTCTCTGTTATGTAAGCAGGTGCTAGTCCTGCAAGATAACATCATCACACAGAGAAGTCACAGTGTCAGTAGTGGCACAGTAGAGAGGTGTGTGTGGTTTGGTGAGCACTGGAAACAATGATCTGGTTCTTCCTGCAGAGATGCTCAGACATGGAAACCCATTGCTCCCAGCTGACCTCTGTGAGGGGCCAAACAGAGCGGGAAGGAAGAGCTGCACGGTCTGCACACCTGGGGGCTGTGCACCCACCTGCAGGAGAAACAGAACAGAACATCTGCACAAGGAGCTCTTCTGGGCTGCAGCTCCACAGCTCTGGAACTGGAGCAGACAAACAAAAGAGACACAGACACACGTTAGGATCTGTTTAACAAATCAAACCAATGCAGCTGGACTACAGAGGAGGTAAAAAAAATGTCAGACTTATATTTCACCAAATTTTGAATTTGAACACAAAAAATCAGGAAAATCTGTTGGCCAGTTGTTTTACACAGTTTTCTTTGATCAGTCCTAAGAAGCTGAGTGATACTTATCAAGAGTTAAAGATGTCAGACCAAAGCTTTGGGGGAAAAAGGTCTTTTTTCCTACAGTGAGGTTTTGCTACCCTGAGTAATAAAAATGCAAAGGAATTTTCTAGCACTGCTGCACTGGTATTCAAAAAGCTGAGACAGATTTCTCAAACTGTGGGGGAAAAAACCTCTTTGCAAGCAGAAGCTCTGAACAGAAAACAGCCCCACATATCCATTTTTTACTGATAGTGCAACACAAGGTCTGGGGTAGAAATCAGCAGCTTAATGACAGTGGTCCTTGCCTGTGATGAGATGTTACAGTTTGGGAAAAAAACATTCTATAACTGTGACTCCAGTTTGTAGGAACTGCATTTACACACATCTGATATAAAAAGGGAAAAGCATATTTTGATCAACCTTTCCTGTGAACAATGCAGAAGAATAAGCACCTGAAAAGCAGGCTGAGGTTCAGAGCATCAGACCTTTTTTATTCATCTTCCAAAATGTGTTGTATCCACCTTTGAGATTTCTGCACAAACAAAACCACCACCATGACACATTTTTTCAGCCTTCTCATGGCCAAACAAGGGATTTTTAGAAGCAAACCTTCCCCTTCCCAGACCAGCACTGGAGCATGGGCCAAGTCTCACAATCTCTGAAATTCATGGCATTCTCTCTTGCTTGGGAAGCCCCAGGTCTCAGTCATAGCACTATCTCAGCATCACAGGTCTCACTCAAAAGAAAACCTGTGCATCCAGATATCCTCCAAGTAGGGTAAGAGTTGACAACCATGAAGCAAGTACGAAGCAGCAACACAAAAAGCATAGCACAGAGAGGAACACAACTGCACATTTGTGTAGATTATGGAGCTCTGAAGAAAGACTGGTTATTCTGAGTGTGAGCAGCACCACAGCTCTACCATCTTATCAGCCATCATATCAGCCCCTTCCACCCAGCAGGGCTCGAGCAGCCAAGTGACACCGTCCTGCTTCCTTTCTGGGAACTCAGCATTTTCTCTGACAATCACCTTGACTGCTTGGACCCTGCTTTTCTACTTCTAGCTGCTTTTAATACTGACTCAATACACATTTGTCAGACCAGGCAAAGGCCTTACATGAGATCTCACGGGTTCAGCTCCTTTCGTTTTAGGATTGCTTTGAAGCCTTTGGAGCCATTAAGAAGGACCCTGAATCTCTCAGACAGCAGGAGTGTGTTTGAGCACAGGGAGGGAGGCAGAAGGGCAAAGTTAATAGTGTTAAAGTAGCTGAATGGGTTTGGGTCAGCCAGAAGCAGGTTCAGGGTCTCTGAACACTGCAGACTGGTCTGGGCCCCCCTTCAGAGCCCACCCCAGTGAGGACAGCAGGCTTGGGCCAACTTTACTTCCCAAGTGGGAAACAACAGGATAAAACTCCAAGTGCTCATTATCCCACCCAATGGGATGCTCCCTGAGAGCACAGGCTCAGCAAGGGGTAGAAGAGGAGAACCTCAGGCCTCAGCTACCCTCTTCTTTTTTACCCCCACAATATGCAGCAAACACATTAGCTTCAAGGAGATGTTTACAGGACAGGGGGTGGGTGATGTTCCCCACAGCAACTCACCCCGTTGAGCCAGCACTGCTTCAGGTTTGGGGTTTGTAGGGGAAGGTTGAGACGTTGGGCTCATTTAACCCCATCAGCCCTTAAATGCATGAACTCGCTTGCTTAAACTGTTAGCAAGTACCTGCCTGGCTTCCAGAAGCAGTGCTGGGCCTGCTGACCCTGAAGGGGTCTGTGGGTGCTGTTCTGAGCTGTAAAGCACAGCACCCAGGAGAGCCAGCCTAGATTAACCCCTTCCCAGACCTATTTCAATCACGTTTCTCCTTTGGCAAACAAATTAAGTTTGCATTGTTAAAATACTACTGTTGTAAAACAGTATCAAATGCATAGGTATTTTTAATCCTTTATAATGCTTCCTGCTTTTGTTTGAAGTTCCGATCCCCCAAGAGTTTGCACATATCACTGCCAAGCCAGAGTGACAGAATCTGGCCCCAGGTCCATGCCAGCTTCTTGCCAGCTGGGGACAAACAAGGGGGCTGCCGTCACCCCTCTGCTCACAGGACACCCATGCAAGGTAAATGCAGCCTGGGCAGAAAGGTGTGACCCGAGGCTGAGTGATGGAGACTCAAATCTTGCTTTGCTTAGCACTGGACCTCTCGACTCGGGGAAAGCCGCTTTATTCCCTGTACCTGTGCAGCTCTCAGCAGCAGCACCACGGGGGAAGGCGGAGCGGTGCCAGCCGGGCCCCCAGCTCTCCTGAGTCCGCACCAGCTCCGCAGGGCTCCACCGACCCCAGCGGCCCGGGGCACACCCGCGGACCCGGCCGGTGGGCGGCTCTGAGGCCGCGGAGCGGAGTGTTTGTGACCACTGCGACACCCTCACCCACCGAGTGACCGAGCGCCGGGCCGGGTGTGCGGCCGGCGAGCCACGGGCGGCCGGGGCCGGGGCCGGGTTTGGGGCCGGGGCTGGCAGCCTGCAGCAGGGCGAGTGCCTGGCGCGGTGCCGCGGGCCGTGCCGGGCTGGGCCGACTCCCCTCCCTCAGCCCCGGCCGGGCCCGGCGGGCGGCGCCGCGCGGGGCGGAAGCGGCGGCTCCGGCTCCGGCTCGGCCCGGCTCGGGCTCCGAGGCCGCGCGGCGGGAGGAGGTAACGCCGCCGGGCCCGGGGCTGCCGCGGGGCCGGGCCGGGCCGGGGGCAGGCGGGTCGGTCCCGCCGGGACAGGCAGAGCCGGGCCGGGCCGGGCCGGAGGGGCCGCGCTCCGGTCCCCGCGGGGCCCGCCCGGCGCGGGGCTGGGGCACAGCCAGGGGCAGCCGGGGAGCTCGGGCGGCACCGCCGGGGCCAGGGGCTGCTCCAGCGCCTTCCCGAGGGCCAGCCCGCCGCGGGGAGGGAGCGGCAGCGGCCCGACCCCTGCCAGGAGCCGGCGGGAAGGGCAGCAGCGATGGGCACGAACGGGCCTTGCTGCCGGGGCTGGTGCTCTGACGGCACAGGGGTGCAGAGTGGGGACTGGGGGGGCCGCACAGTTCACCTGCTGGGATAACACTGCAGGGGCACGGCAGCAAAGGGCATAAGCAAAGCAGAGGAGTAGCCCTGAGCCACAGAATCACAGCATGGCTGGGCTTGGAAGGGACCGTTCAAGGCACAGTCCAACCCCCCTGTGGTGGGCAGGGACATCTTCAACTTGGCCAGGTTGCTCAGAGCCCCCTCACACCTGACCTGGAATATTTTCAGGGATCGGGCACCCACTACCCCGCTGTGCAACCTTTGCCAGTGTTTCTGCACCCTCGTTGTAAAAAATTTCTTCCTTATATCTGGTCTAAATCTACCATCTCTTAGTTTAAAACCATTACCCCTTGTCCTATCTGTGTAGAGTGTTCTGCTACAAGAGCTCTGGGCTCTGTAACATATCCTTTACTGAAGACAACCAGGGCACTGGGACCTCAGGTAAAACACCTCTGCCCTGCAGTAGGGCTTCAGTCCATGGGAAAGGGCCAGAACCAGGACTCCTGGAGCACCTCAACTACGCATCGTCAGGCTTTGTCAGCTTGGCTTGGTCAGTCAGAGGCATGAGGACTGAAACTCTTTGCTTTGTCTTATATTTGGACTATGAAATAAATGGACTCCAGTGGAAAATGAAAGCAAAGCTTTGTGAGCTGCTCGTTTTGGCACACCATGTCCCTACAGTGCTGTGCTTTGCAGAGTAACAGTAAACTCCTCAAAGGTTACACTTGCTTTAACAACATCAGCACTCCTCTAAGAAATAAGGGTAAATCCCCATAATTCTGTCATGCTTGTGGCTTAGTGTTTGGTGTAAGCACTCTCCTGGCACCAGGCCATTTTCCCTCTGGTCTCTCAGCTGCCTGTGTGATTTTGTAGGGTGCTGAAGATGGCAGGCAGCTCCACTCCTTGGATTGGCAGTGCTTACCTCTTCCTCCAGTCGACAAGCAAGACCATCGTTCTGCCATCTCTCTACGAGAGCTCCCAGAAGAAGCCCAGTGTGTTCAGGGCACTGAAGCTGGCATTAGCAGGTATCTCTTCTCATATCTTGCTGTGCTGCCTTGTCTCTTCACACAGTTCCACGCCTTTCTTTAATCTCACGTTCATGGGTAGGGAACTTGTCCTCACTGTTTAGGAAAGACAGCAAAGTGGAGTAAGTTCAGGAGAGGTTCACCAAGATGGTTGGGGGCTGGAGCACTTGTCCTGTGAGGAGAGGCTGAGGGAGTTGGACCTGTTCAGCCTGGGGAAGAGAAGGCTTCAGGGGCCCTACCAAACAGCCTTCTGATACCTGTGGGGAGGGGGAGATGGAGCCATGCTCATCATAGTGGTGCCTGGGAAATGAGGGGGAAATTAAATTAAAAAGAAGCCTGGCAATTTCTGCTGTCCACATTGCTCCTGCTCCTCCTACAGTAATGTTTGAGGATACATCCCTGGCTTCTCCTTGCCAAGATTTTACTGTGAATTAATCCTCTGTGCAAAAGACCATAACAAGTCAAGGCCCAGTCCCAAGCAGCTTAATTCCTGTGGCTGGATCTGTCATTCACCAGCCAAAGTTACCTCTAGGCACAGACTGCAGAGGAAACCTTCATCACTGCATAAAACTCCAGTCACAAGGACTGAAGACTGACTGAGCTCTGAGCTGAAATGAGCTTTCACCTATAAAACTTTCCTGTGCTACCAATTTAGCATAACCATCTCAGCCCTGGGAATGGAACCTCAGATTTAAAACTTCCCCTAATAAGCAGTGTCGATATAATTACCTGGGATGCAGTTCCATACATCTTCAGCTGGACACCATACTTCATGGAGCTCCATGGTGGGAGGGCAGCGAAAACTTAATCCTTCCCTCTTGGTTTCATGTGCAGGCTCTTCATGCCAGAGAACTTTGTCCCAGAGAGAATTCAAAAGTTGCTCCATTGCAGGCTTGGTGGTGGGTGGGAGTGGGTCTGGGTGGGCTGTCTCAGGCCTGGACTCTGTGACTCTGCTCACTTCTCCCCGCCAGACTCCACGGGCAGCATGAACGGTGTGGACGTGCTCAAAGTGCACTGCAGCCACCCGCAGCTGATCGTGCAGCTCAAGTTCTGCAGGCAGGAGCTCTGCCGCCGCTTCCTGCGCAGCTACCGCGATGGGCTGCTCCACAGGGCCCTGCAGAGCCACCTCCAGCTCTCTCTGGCCACCACCACAGTGCCCCTGGAAATGGAGCTGAAGGCTGGCAGCGAGCACCTCGACAACATGCTGAAGGATGAGGATCGTTGCCTGGAGTGCATCTACAGAGAAAAGGTGAGTGGGAGGGGGAGGGAGGCCAGGCAGCAACGAGGAGCGGTGGCACAGGGCTTGTGAAGGTGGCTGCAAATATTGTTCTGATGCAGCACGTTGGGTTGACAAACTCCTTCCTCTAGTTCTCAGCTGTAAGGTGTGAAGAGCTCTGCCCTTCCCCAGAAAAGAGCTGTGCACTTTTGCAGAAGGGCAATAGCGTTACCTAAAACATCCTGCAGAGCTCCTGCTAAATCACTGTGGCTCCTGTGTGTAACAGTTAGCGTGGATGGTATCCCCCCTGAGAGGAGGAATGCTAGATGGTGACGCTGAGAGCACAGGTGTGCCTTGATACAGCTGTGAGGGGGCAGAGAGGACAGTGGTCCTGTGTGGAACCATCACTGCCCAGCACCTTCCTCCCCTGCCTCTCACACCCCCTGCTCCAAGAGCAGCAACAGCAACTGCACCTAGAAATGAGTGTGAGTGCAAACAGCCAGCACATTAACCAGCCACCTGTGACATAGTGGGGACACACAGCACCTGCTGCCAGCAGGATTGGGCTGCCCTGCTGAGGGCAACGTCTCTCAGAGCCCACAGGTTTTGCCAGGTTGCTTTTCTGCAAGCACAGAGAATTGAGACTCAAACCTTTCATCTCTGGACCAAACAACTTGTCAACTTTGGCTTGCTGCTCCCTCCCTCTGCTGAACTAGCTGACTGGACAAAAGAGATGGGCTTATTCTCAGTTCCCCAAAAGAGTCTCAGTCTGACCCCGCCTAATGGAGCCACAGTCAGAAAGATGGCAGTGGGGCACAGCTGTCAGCAGCTGAGGGCAGTGCTGGTACCTGCTGTACATGAGATGAAGTAGTGCTTAGCTCAGACTGAGCCAGAGTACTCACCGGGTTTGACTCTTCCCACGTGCTTTGCCTTCTTTACTCCATTCCCCATTAGCTGCTTTTTGGAGGTCAGACTAGTTTTCTCTTGGTTAGTGAGAAAAACTGGCTTGGCAAGGACCCAGGAACCACAAACCTTAGGGAACAGAGGGACAGAGAGAGACAGAAGGTGATAACAGGAGCTGCCTGCTTTGGTGGCCACAAGCCATTGGATCAGGTCACCCTGTTCTGTGGGTCTGACCCTCATATGGAGTTTGGAGGAGCCCTGCTGCCTATAGTGCACCCTAATTCTTGCAGAAGGCTGCTGAAAATAAGCATGGGGTAGCAGCAGTTGTGTGCAACTCATAAGCACTGCACAGGAGAAACGCAGGAGGGGGAGATGGTGTATGTCATATCATGTTACAGATTCAAATTCACACATTTACAGCCAGAGCTCCATTAGACCATCTCATTTAGCTGGTTTACAGCTCATGCTATAGCTATCTCATTGCTCCTCTCTTGACACCATCATCTTAAGCTAAGTACCATCACCTTCTAGCTAAGTACCCAGAGCTTTGCAGGAAGGTGGCCCTGGCAGAGTCACTGATGGTGTTTGCATTGCAGCCTGACCGCCTGCGGGACGAGGAAATCACGGAGCTGGAGGAACGCCTCAAGAGCCTGACTGTTCACCAGAGCCTCAACAACAATGTGGCTGTCAAAGACTGTGCACCTCTGAGGTCCCCATCCCTGCCTTATCCTTCTCAAGGCAGCTCCCTTCCCCCACAAGACACCTTCATCTTTCAGGGACAGCAGTTTGGTGAGTAGTTAGAACTAACCAAGACAACCCTCGGTGTTCCTTGCCTCACAGCCTGAGAGGGAGGATTAGCATGACCACACACTGGCAGGCTGTGGAGAACTGAAATGTTGTGCACAGTGAGCAGGGAGGCAGCAAGCAGGGAGGCTTAACTCCTGCTGGTTTCCCCTTTCCAGTGGTGGGGGAACTGCTCACAGCACGACAGTCTCTTTAGCTTCACTGCCCCAATCTCAGACTGCTGCCCTGGTGCTGAAACAGCAGAGGACAAGCAGAGCAGCTTCACAGCAGTTTAACAACGTGCTGTGGACACTGAACAGGTTCCCTGCCCCACAGAACATTGACCAAGCCTAGGGCTGGCCCAAACTGCATCCCATCAGCAGGAAAGCTCTGTGTTTACCTGCCCTCTGTCCCTTTCAGACAACAGAACAATCACACTGGATGACCACCAGAAGTTTGCCAAGCTCGTGTCCAAGAAGTGGAAGCAAGTGGGTCGCTCTCTGCAGAAGAGCTGCCGGGCCCTGCGTGACCCTGTCATTGACAACCTGGCCCTCGAATACGACCGAGAGGGACTGTATGAACAAGCCTACCAGCTGCTGCTCAGGTTCATCCAGTCAGAGGGCAAGAAGGCCACAATAGCACGGCTGATCGCAGCCCTGGAAGAAAACAGTCTCATCAGCGTGGCTGAGGAGCTCTTGGGCCTCCACTCCAACGAGGACTGCTCCTAGAGCCCAAAGGGCAGTGCCATTGCTAAGGGCTTTCCTGCTTTAGCTACTGTATGAAACTGCTGCCAGGTTCTGGGAATGTGAAGCCCTGAAAATCACCACAGGTTTCCATCTAGGTTGGAATGTCCAGGGGAGAGGCCCTGTGCTCACAGAAGCCAGCATGGACCTCTTCCGTTCCCTGTTTCATTGTGTTTCCAGAAGGCAGCACTACCCTCCTGTGAACTGGTGAGAGGCTTTCAGCCTGACTTCCTTCAGCACTGAGGGAAGGGAAGGTAGCTTCCTTCAGGACTGTCACAGGGAAGCAGCCAGACAGAGAGCCCTAGGGGAGAGTGGGGGAGAGGAGAAAAGCAAGCAAGGCATCTCAGAGAATTTTTCTGGGAAGCAGACAATGCCACTGCTTCTCAGGCTGTGTCTCAGGGCCATCACCTGGGGAGCTGCAATATCTTTTTTATATTGAAGACATTTATGCCCTCAGGCATGACATCAAGGAAAGACAGAGGGGAAATTAAGGAAAAGTCAATTTTATATTATTTTCCTTCTTTGTTTGAAAAATATCTGTGGCAAGTCCATCTGTCCTGCCCTGCTCTATTATAGCTCCTTCCCACCACTCACCACCTGAAGGTTTCCCTTCTAGCTGGAACAGCCTTAATCTTCCACAGGGCACAAGATTGCTGCTGCAGAACAAATTTCAGGCACTGAAAAAGCAACGTGGACAAACTCAAATTCAGACAATGGTTCTCAGCGTTTTCTGCTCTGTGGTGGACAGTGATATACTGACTACATCGTGCTCAGCTCTTGCCTGGCAGCCTGAGGGGCCTGCAGCTGTGGAAAGCAGCCTCTGAGCCAGCGAGTGACCCTCGTGGATTGGAGCTGCTGCTCTGAGGTGTGGCCATCCCGATCCAGAGCTGAGACACCGCCCCTGCCCTGGGGCTGCTCCTCCTTCACTCCCTGCTCACCGCCCACCCCGGCCCGCTGAGCTCTCCGGAGGGGCCTCTCACACCCCACATGCCACGGGCGACAGCATCTGCACAGAGCCTTTCCCTGGTGCTGCTGTCACTGGGTGACAGCTGAGCGTCAGCTGCTGTCCCTGGATTTACCTGCACTGATTTTTAGGGTAAAAATGGCTGAAGAGACAAATCTCCCAAACCCCGGGGCTGACTCCTGCTTTCAGTGGGAGAAGCTGAGTGCCTGCTGGTGTGGCTGAGCAGACAGCACACCTTTGCCATAACAAAGCACAGAGTGTCTAGTGTGACACAGGTCCTGTGGGGCACAACAGCAGTTGATTACCTCTGACATATTCCCAAGGCTTTCCTGATAGAATTAATTGAAAAGGATTAGTAAAAACCTATCTCTGTTTGCCCTTCCCATCTGTGGGAATAGGCAGTGGGCTGTGGAAGTTATTTCAGATGCAGAGGGTGGCTCTGGCTGCACACACAAAGCCTGTGTGCATGTGAGAATACCAGGCTGCTGGCAGTCATGGTAGGACCAGCTCTCAGTGAGGCCCTGACAGCCTTAATCCTTCCCTGGAGTCAGAGCTGTAATTCAGTAAGAAGGAATGCAACCTCAGGTTCAGGTGTGGGTCCAGAGCAGAGCTCCTGGGGCTGGAGCTGCTCCCTCAGGTTCTGCTGAAATGGAGACCTGGATGAGCAGGATTGAGATGTCCAGCTTCTACCCAGGGGGGATCCACCTGCCTCAGGTGAGAGGAGCATCACAGCCCTCAGTGTAAGCCTGAGAAACTCACTTGTTGTCTGCAGATTTTAAATCCCCAAGGTTACATACACAGTCAGGAAAGGGATGATGGGGGTTAAAAATGGGGAGAATGTTTTCAGGGTGAGTGAATCTGCTTCCATCTTGCCCTGAGCTTCAAAGGAAGCAGGACTTTATGCAGGCACCATCTCTGCAGAGGCTGTGGCTTTTGTCAGTGCCACTGCAGTCTCATCTCCACTCCTGCTCCACATCCTACCCTCTCCCTTCAGTAGTACCAGTGCTCTTCCCCAAACGCAGCAATTACCTCTGTGACAGTTTTGCTTTTGGGACCAGCACTGCTGACCTTAGTTAATGTAGGCTGCTGTGGAACCACACCTCAAAGCATTTAGCTTTCCTGCGAGATCCCAGCTGGGGAACTCTGTTTGGCAGTAACCCACCTGCTTATTGGTATTTTAAAAATGGTATTTTAAAAAATTTTAAAAATCAGAAACTGGAAAATTGCTTTTAACAGCAAGAGGGTGTGCTCTTGATTTTGCAGAAATGATTTTTTAAAGAAGACAAGGTCATATGCATAGCCTGCTGTCTTATTTGTAGTAAGTTTTTCTAAGCTCTCAGACTAGCTATTCATGTACACAACTTTCACATAAGGCAGCCTCTGAGTAGTGAGAATTACTAGTTTTTGTAGTATCTGTTAATGCTTAAAATGAGAAAGTCTTATTATTCAGCATCTACTTCAAGTCCAGCATAGTTTTTTGCAGCTATTACTCTTTTAGAGAGCACTGAGCATGAATGCTTTTCCCTGAAAGCAAGCACTGTGCATTTCCTCTCTCTGCCAGCGACTGGCGTCTGTATTTCCTCTTACTCACACCTTCCCTCTCCAAAGTGCCATTAAGTGCTGGAGCCCCTGGCAACCTTTCTGGAATATCATCATCTTTAACAGCATTCACAGGTGCCTTCATTGCAGAGACTCGAAGGAAAAGGGTTTTCCAGGGATATTCCATGGTGGAATTGTCTTAAGCACATTGCACTTTTAGGAGCATAGAGTGGCTGTTCCTTACCTCCTTTTCCACGGTCAGTCATCAGCAGCAGGTGCAATGAAGACTTCAGGTCTGGTCTCCAGTGGACTCCTTCCTGCTAAAAAAGTAGGTTTGGTCAGTATTGTCTGGCACAGACAAAACCATTTTCACAGAGGCCTGAGAGTGAAAGAGGAGATTGGAGGTGAGGACAGGAGGGGGAACACTGCTCTGCCTGCCTGTGCACAGTCAGCTGCTCTGGGCCAGGCAAGCAAACCAGCTCCCTCCCTGCTGATACCCATTCACTCATGCCTGCTGTGGGGGACAAGCCACGGGCAGAGCTGCTGTGGGAAGGTTTGGCCTCATCCCATAACAGCTCTTCTCTAAAATACTGAGATTATGAGGGGCAAAAAGATTATTTTCAGGGGTGGTGGTGGTGGTGTTTCAGAATCAAACACAATATTAAAAGCAAATAAAGATGCTAATCAGTGGCATATAAAACCTGAAATAGGTAAAATATAAAATGGCAACAAACCAGTCCAAAATGTGCTTAGAGGACAGGATCCAAGAGGGTTTTTCTGTGGTACAGATTGTTTCTGTAGTTCTAACCGTGTTTCAGATTTGAAGGAGGCTCCTTTCAGGCTGCCAGAAGGAATAAAAGATCCATCCAAAGGAGAATGTGAATGATTTGTTTTGGCATGGCTGAGCTGCCGTGTTCAAACAGAGATAATAAGGAAGGGAGTGAAAGTTAAATGCTCACCAGATATACTCTGGCATAAGGCATCTGATAGAGGCAAACCTGTCAGTACAGCCTGATATAAAATTGTCTCAAAGGAAAATACCTGCTTATTTCACATCCATTTCAACCCTGGGTTTGGCATGAGAAGTTGTGCTGCTGCCTGGGTCCCACGCCCTGGAGTGTGTGCAGGACATGGTGAGATCCTTGGCTTTACACCAGCCAAGGTCTGCCCACGTGTCCTTTGTATGGATTCAGACAGTGAAGCAATTTAATGCCCAGAGTCAAACATTATATGTTCTTTTCTTCTCTGGATTGCATTTTTAAAGTCACTGAAGGGATCTGGCCATACATCTCTAACTGAAACCTGCAGGAGATGGATGGTCCCTTAGTTGTCAGTGGAAAATCACTTGCACATCTTCTAATTCCAAATTGCCATGATGTTCAGCATCAGATCTGGATCAGCCATCTACAGCTATGGACTGAATGCCATGTATCCTTGGGTCCAGGACATTTAACCTCCAAGGAATTGTCTTGTATAGAAAAAAAAACACTGGTATATTTTTTTCTCAGTTCTGTTTTATAAATAAATACATACTTTTGATGACAGACGGCTCAGAGGCTTTCATGAAACACTCAGGACAGTACCTTGGGCTGGCCCAGGGACAGTGTGAATGTGAATAACATCTCTGGCCGGGGTGTCTGACCAGCTGAGCTGCTCAGGGAGCTGCTGATCACCAGCAAAGGGCTTTCCCAGCCTGCAGCACCGGAGTGCAGGGCCCGAGGGTGTCCCATCAGGAACCCGCTCTTCCCCTGACATTGTGTTCAGTAAAGCAAAACATTTGAATAAATAAAAAAAAAAAATAAAAACACATCAAAAAAGCCCAGATGCTGACAAAAAGGGATTTTTATGTTATGTTTAAAAAACAGCCGGGTGTTTGTGAAAACAACAGAGTAGAACAAAACCTGCCTTTGTAACAAGTTCACTGTAAACAAAAAACTTTGCTTTCTAAAGAGGCCGTGGTCTGGGCACTCTCCAGACACTTGGCCTCTGCTAGAGGAATGAGGGTCACTGTTTACACTGCAGAGACAAAGAAACAGCCACAGAGACTGGAAGTGCTATGGCTGCACTCAGCTGGCAGATCAGTAGTGATGGCAGTTTAGATTTGGCTCCAAATAAAAATGTTTTGGTTTGAACTATTTCAAATTAAATGGAAAACCAAAACAGGTGGGGTTTGGGGTTTTTTCAGTGTTTTGGGAGGAACCCTCGAATCTGTCTTCAGCCTCTGTACTGCTGAACTCTCACCTCCTCCCACCATTTCCCTACTAGGAAAAGCAGAAACCAACCCCCAGCTGGATGTTACTTCTGAGCTGACCCCAACCTCAATTTTTCAGTTTGACTCTTTGCAGAGGTAAATACTCACAAAAAATAAACAAACACAAACCCCAAACTGCGGAACGGAAAGAAGAAGAAAGTCAGAAAGAAAACCCAGTGCATTTCCTACTGACACAAGCTGTGGGGGAGCAGCCCCGCACCTCTCTGCAGGATGAGGGACGTGCCCAGCGCCTCCGCCCCGCCCTGTCCCGCGGAGCCGCCGCGCTCCGATCCCGATCCCATTCCCATCCCCATCCCATCCCATCCCGATCACGTGCCGGAGCCCGCACCCAGCGCTCCCCACCCCGCGCGGTGTGCGGGTGCCGGAGGGGCCGGGCCGTGGCCGCAGCTCCCGGGCCGAGCGAGGGGCATTGGGGACAGCCCGGGCCGGCCCGGAGCGGCCCCGAGCGCTGCTGCTCCCACAGCTCCTTCCCCGGCTCCGGGAAGGGCTGAGGAATGTCCCGCACTAACTGCATCCAGATGTGCCGGCTTGGCAGCCCACACAGCACCGGGGGGACAGGATCGGCGCTATCAAACGGGCTGTGAGTGTCTGTTCTGGACGTTCCATCAGGGCTGTGAGTATCTGTTCTGTGTGTTTGATCAGGACTGTATCTGTTCCGTACGTTCGATCAGGGCTGTGAGTATCTGTTCTGGACGTTCGATCAGGGCTGTGAGTATCTGTTCTGTGTGTTTGATCAGGGCTGTGAGTATCTGACGTTCGATCAGGGCTGTGAGTATCTGTTCTGGACGTTTGATCAGGGCTGTGAGTGTCTGTTCTGTGTGTTTGATCAGGGCTGTGAGTATCTGTTCTGGACGTTTGATGAGGGCTGTGAGTATCTGTTCTGGATGTTCGATCAGGGCTGTGAGTATCTGTTCTGGATGTTTGATCAGGATTGTGAGTATCTGACGTTCGATCAGGGCTGTGAGTATCTGTTCCGTACGTTCGATCAGGGCTGTGAGTATCTGTTCTGGACGTTCGATCAGGGCTGTGAGTATCTGTTCTGCACGTTCGATCAGGGCTGTGAGTATCTGTTCTGGACGTTCGATCAGGGCTGTATCTGTTCCGTGCGTTTGATCAGGGCTGTGAGTGTCTGTTCTGGACGTTTGATGAGGGCTGTGAGTGTCTGTTCCGTGCGTTTGATCGGGGGGTCGGGGACAGTTCTGCAGCGAGCAGGGTGAACTGGAGACTGTCCTCACTGCTTCCCTTTGCCTCCAGCCTGCGGGGTTTTTTTTGTTGCCTTGTTGCTCTTGCGAATGTTGTTACGTGCAGCACCCCGAACTGTGATGGTTAACACGCAGCAGGGGCGGCTGCGGGCTCTGAGCACGGAGCCTCCAGCCTGAGACATCTGCCTTACACTCTGCTTTCCGAAGAACTTTTCAGTTGCTTTTACAGAAGCTTGGGGTTTCTCTGCACAGTGACTCCAGTGCTCTCAGACACGGTTTCCTCTCAACCACGAACATGTTCCAGTAGTGGCACTTTACACTTACAAGCCATTCTTCATCAGTAAAAGGACATGAATCTTTCCCATGTTTGAGCAAAACACAGGAATTTCCAAGCTCTCTAGTGTCACAAAGATAGAAAGAAAATAATTCAATCCCTGTGACATGGGCAGTTACTCCCTCTGCCATTTGTGCCTGGGTGTAATAACACATCCATGCTAATGCACTGTGATTGCTGGGGCTTGGGGCATGTCAGGCAAATTATTTATCAGATCAGAAGAGGGTCTGAGAGCTCAAGAGGCAGTGGGTGCTACAGCCTGGGCAGGGCTGGGAAAGGAAGGTGGTTGTTTCAGTGGGACTGTTTCTTACCCCTTCACAAATCTGCAAGGGTTTATTCTCCTCCTGGGGCCAAGAAAAATGAATGTTTGGAAGAGAGAGGGCAGGTTCCTCGTCCTGTGCTTGGCTGCTCAGGAGGGGCCTGTCTCCCCAGAGCACTCAGCTGTGAGTTGAGCTGCTGAGCTCTCTGTAACTCTGAAAATCAGGGGCTACCAGCACACAGGACTGTGTCTGAACTCAGGGAAGTGCCTCTCGAGGCTGCTGAGCCTGCAGAAGGGGGTTGTGTGTTACCTTCTCCTACCTTGCAGGCAGCTGAGCGCTCTCACTAGGGATGTGGTGCTGTGCTCAGGAGGAGCTGGAGCTTTCCCTGTTTGCTGGGCAGCAGCTCATCCTGCACAGGCACTGCCACGAGGGCTCCTCCTGCGCTGCCAGGGCCAGAAAACATCGGGCACTGCTGAAATCCAGCAGAGCTGCAGCCTGGTCTGGTGGGATGAAGTTCATCTGAACATACCTGTTTTACACAGGTGCAGCTGCAGGATGGGCACAGGGTATGTCATTATTGTTTCCTGAACACTGTCAGGACTCCTCCTGAGGCACAGGAACAGCAGCACCAGGTGAGGAGGGTCCTGGGAATTTGCTTTGCTCTTGCTGAGGGAATGAGTGCACTATCCTCTGCAGCCAGAGCCTGGGCAGGGCTCAGTGTCCAGCCCTGGGTGTTCAAACATGGCTTTGTTCTCATGAAAAGCACTCAACCAACATGAAATGAAAACAAATATCCCAAACCTGAAGCACTGCCCCAGAGCATCCCCACCAAGCAGAATTTTCCCAGCTTCCCTGGTGATTACAAAAAAATCTCCTCAAACCTGTCAGTGCTGGATCCCACACAGGTTCTTTAGCTCATTTTACAGAGAAACAGGTAGCACACCTCCATCAGCAACCACAGCCCCTCGTGCTGCATGGCCACACAATGCATGTGACCCCCTCTCTGCTGTCCAGCCCAGACCCACCAGTGGCAGCTGCAGCATCAGGAGTCAGGGGAGAGCCAGAACCCCTTCCCAGGCAGCTGGGCAGCAAGCTGAGCCGGGGACAGCCAGGCTGTGCTTGGTGGGGATGGATGTGCCCGTGAGCAGGGCTGGGATGAGTGGCCAGCAGATCATGGTGCCAGTTTGGGACCCCCTGGCTTAGTGTAACCCCATTTTCAGCTCACCTTGCTGTCACAGCTGCCTGTCCCGGGGCTGGCTGGGTCAAATAACTGCTCTTCAAGGCAAAAAGCAACGTGCCAGAATCACCATTCTTGAATTCTGAATTCAGAGACAGCATCCAGAGACTTTTTCCCCCGTTGGCCCTGAAGAGAAGTGCCAGGTGCTGGAGGTGAGAGGAGCGCTGCAAGGGAAGGAGATTTCCAGGATGAGCTCAAGGCTTCACGTCATTCAACTGGGAAAGAAGGACTAGCAATTTTTTTTTTTTAATCATCGTCTAACTGCTTTTATTGCAGCTGTTCTTGGCCATATTTCAGAATCCTCCTCTCAAATAAGTGGAAAGCAGGCAGAGGACTGGGCCTTTAGCCCGAGCGTGCAGCAGGGCAGGGCAGATTCCTGCCTGGACACTCCCCAGGGTGCCATGCCCAGCTCTGGCCCCTTCCAGCCTTTCGGAGCCTCTTGGGCCATGCAGGCTGTGCCCCACTTGGTTCCTGCAGCACATTCCTTATTTATGGGCTCCCCATCTTGCCCCCTCATGGCCATGGGACCTCTCAGCCTCTCCCTACTGCCCAGCTCAGCCCCCTCAGGGAGATGCTGTGCTAAGAAATGCTCTGCTGTGCTCACCCCTCTTCACTTTGGCATCAGATATTTCCTGCTCACTTTGACAGCCCTGTAATTTTTTTTCCCCTGGTGTCAAGATGGATGAATAATCTTTCTGGCCTTAGGACAGAGCAGAGCATCAGCCAGAATGATCAGTCCCTCTGTATTCAGCTTTTCCCACACTGACATCCATGCAGAGAGCTTACACCTGGGTAACAATCGAGGGTGTTTCCTTCCAAAGAAAGAAATATCTAACAAAGACTGGAAAAATCCATATAATTAGATCAAGGAATCACTTCAAGGGCTGGCAACTTTGTTTGAAAAAGAGATGTCTCTATTGAGCACTGAACTGCTGTATTTCAGCATGGAAATCACTGTTTCAGATCCTTTACTTTCAATAAACGAATACACAGAAGAAAACCCGGGCTATCAGCCCAGGCTTGTAACAGCTCAGGGTTTTTCTTGGCTTTTCCAAGGGCATTTATTGCCAGGGTCTGAGATGCTGGCAGGATAAATCTGTAAGCCATGGAAATTACGAGTTCCATGACACACACAATTTATTCCAAACCCTTGACGATAAAATTAAACACAGGAAAGAGCCAGGACTTTCATCCAGCTCCTTAATTACCATCTGGAGTCTGGCAGCTGAAATAAGAGCAAACTTTTCTATAGAAAAGGAAAAAGAAGTTTGCTGTGACTGTGAGAGTAGAGAGGGGACTCCCCAGGGAGCTCAGGTGGAGACACAAACGTCAGGATTTACCCCACTGGGACGAGCATCTCCCACTCCCTTTGGAAACCGCACGCCCAGAGCTGCACAGCACCTCAATAAACTCATTCCAGCACAACAGAAGGAGCCCAAACACCTCACTTTTAGTTCTTGTGAACTTTCTGAGACAGGGTCCCTATTTCAGGTATCTCAGTGGCACCCAGCAAAACCTCTGCCCGTGGTTAGGCTGAAGGAGGACAGACCCCAGTTCAGTGGCACGTCCTGGCTGCAGTGGGACCATCCCTTCCTGTCCCCAGGACTTTGGGAAAATTACTGAAGGCAACGTGAGGGAAAGCCTCTGGGAACCACACCTTCAGAAGGAAGATTCAGTACGAGACTGGCACACGTTGGTTGCTGCAGAGCAAGCAGGACCTGCCAGGGGGGTTCGCACGTGGCAGACATGGGATGCAAACTCACACCCTCCACGTGTCAGGGGGCCTGTTCCCTGGGGCTGGAAACAGAGATCAGCCAAGCCATGTGGCAGAAAGAACATAAACAGGAAACAGATCCTGAATATTCTAAACATTTTTAACAACAATTTACAAGAGGTCTGAGAAAATTCTACAATCCTGTTAGAATCAAAGCTGTGCCAGTTAAAACATCTGCCCAGGCTGGGACAGGAGGGAAGGTACAGTGAAGAGAGCCAACAAATGAAGAAAACCCCAGTCTAAGAGAGGCCAGAAAAAGGCAAGAAACAAGGCCTGAGGAAAAAGCATCGTCACCAGAACAAGGAAGAAGTGATTTAAAATCGACCAGAGCCTTACACCAAGGCACAGACATGCTGTTTGCCAAAATAAAGGTTTCAGAAACAATGGAGACAAAGCAGATGAGGAGCTGCACCTGAGGAAAAGATAGGTGATACCATATGATGATGAAATACTCTATTCCAACATGCAGTGGACCAGTAATGGAAAAGCAGAACATTAAAATTATGAGGTCTGAGTAATGTCCCTCTAACAGTGTTAAAGGGGCTGGCCAAGAAATCAACCAGTTTTGCTTCCTCATAAGTCTTGAAATATTGCCCAGGCACTGCAGGTGCCACGTGTGAGCATGACACACTGTCAGTGGATGTATAAAATACCTGTGTGCACTTGGGGGAGAACTTTTGGGTGGAGCTAAACTTTAGAAACGTGCTCCTTGCTGCCTTCTTACCACTCTTTCCTTATTATTTTCTGTTTGCAGTTGAAGAACTGATTGAATGACACAGGAGATCACCAGGAAAAGTGTAAGTGAGGAGTATCTTGCATTTCACAAGGCAGCCTCATCTATCACCCGTGAACAAACGTTCCTAACTAACACCAGGCTCTGTCTTGCTCCTGCATATTGGGATTTATTTCCCCACCTCTTGCTTAGGGTGACCGGGCAGAGGAAAAACACCTGTGGCTCCTTCTAACCTTATTAATGGAAGTTATTTACAATGGTTTAATATTTTATAAAGATTACTGGCAGGAAAAGGGCCCTGTGTGCATCACCTCTGTGCCTGTGCCTGTCCCTCAGCTCTGTCTGTCCCTCAGCTCTGCCCCTCAGCTCTGTCCCTCCCTGGCCTGGGCCAGAAAGGGTGAAAGCAGCAAGGAACAGTTATGAAGCTGGGGAGGGAAGAAAAAAGTAAAGACTTATGGAAGAGTGGGATTGTTGTTCATCATTTTCCACCTTGCTCTTCCCAAAGCAGTGACATCTCTGAAATGGCAGCAAGGGATGCAGGAGGAGGGGCTGATTTTGGGCTGTGCTTACAGAGTGGCTTTCAGGATGAACAGTGACTGAACTAACCAAGTTTGGAGTGCCAGGCTCAGGGTTGCAACCCCACGTGCCTTTTGGCAAGTTGCTCAAGGTGTCTCAGTGCCTGTCTGAGTAAAACACACTTGGCTGCTGGTTTTTTTAAATGATCTTTCAGTCAGTCTTGCCTGCATGCTCCAGACCTGCCAGATCCTCGCTGCTGACACACTCTGCTCATTTACAGATGGACACTGGTGCCAGGCAGCTCAAGCACAGCTTTTAGCAGTCCAGGAACACCACAGAGACAATGAGAGTTCGCCTCAAGGGGGATGTGATCTGCACCCTCCTCCTGCTGGCAGCGCTCTGCTCTTTACTCTATTCCCAGCTAGAACATTTAGTCCCAGCAGGAAACAAGGAGCCAGCACAGAAGAAGCCTCCAGGAGCCCCAAAAATATTCTCAGATCCCCGAGCACCTCAGAGACTGATGCCAGCAGAGGCAACAGCACCCAGACCCCAGGTCACCCCCATCATTAAACAAGCAGAAGTGACCAACAACAGGGTCCAAACTACAACTGCACCCCTGCCAACCGATCCTGCCTTCGACTTCAAGCACTATCTCCTAAACAAGGACAACAGGAACTTCAACCTCCTCGTCAACCAGCCCAGGAAATGCCGGAAAACACCCGGAGGGCCCTTTCTGCTCATTGCTATCAAGTCGGTAGTTGAAGACTTCGACAGGCGTGAGATCGTCCGGAAAACTTGGGGCAGGGAGGGCTTGGTGAACGGGGAGCAGATCCAGAGAGTGTTCCTGCTGGGAACACCAAAGAACAGGACGGTGCTGGCGACGTGGGAGGCCCTGATCCAGCAGGAGAGTCAGACTTACCGGGACATTCTGCTCTGGGACTTCATGGACACGTTCTTCAACCTGACCCTGAAGGAGATCCACTTCCTGAGCTGGGCTGCCGAGTTCTGCCACAGCGTCAAATTCATCTTCAAAGGCGACGCCGACGTTTTCGTCAACGTCGAGAACATCGTCGATTTCCTCAAGAGGCACGACCCCGCCGAGGACCTCTTTGTGGGGGACATCATCTACAATGCCCGCCCCATCCGCGCCCGGCAGAGCAAGTACTACATCCCAGAGACCATGTACGGGCTCAGCATCTACCCGGCCTACGCCGGGGGAGGGGGGTTCCTGCTGTCCGGCCGCACCGTGGGGAGGCTCTCCCGGGCCTGCAGGGAGGTGGAACTCTTCCCCATCGACGACGTCTTTCTGGGCATGTGCTTGCAGAGGATCAACCTCAAGCCCGTTCTGCACGAAGGGTTCAAGACCTTCGGCATCGTCAGGCCCTCTGCTGCCCCGCACCTGCAGACCTTCGACCCCTGCTTCTACAGGGACCTCATGGTGGTTCACAGCCTGAAGGTCGCCGAGATCTGGCTGATGTGGAACCTGCTCCACAGCCCCCGTCTCTCCTGCACTCAGAAGAAGCAAGTGAAGAAGCCTTTCCAGTGGAAAAAGAAAGCTCAAAGCACAGCACGAGCCCCCCCCCTCAGATAGTGCAGGCAGGCTGCAGCTCAGACACAGCAAACAGCTCAGAAAGGAGCCTGCACGCAGCCAAACCAACCACAGGTGTTGGAGCACACCTTATTGCTGGGAGAACACAACGAACAGCTGCAGGAACGTGCCCAAATTCCACATTTGCACACACATATCGTGTAGGTCCTCCTCTATTAATGAGTCCCAATAATTGTAGCAATACATGTAATTTATTATTATTTATTAGGATTATAGCAGTGCTCAGTGGGACAGTGTGCAAAAGCACATTGAAAAATGCAGTCCTTGGAGATTTTTCAGCGTTGTTAGAAACGTGGGAAATGAAGGAAGATGCAGGTAAGGGCCCAGGCACCAGGGAGCACAGGGATCATTGTCAACTTGCTGCTTGACTTGGACTCATTGACAAATGACTGAACAGTAAATAGGATAAAGGACATCAAGGCACCTCAGTGTAGGCTCAGGTGAAACCACTGCTGCCTGCTTGGCTTTCTGGAGGCCTTGTAAGAAGAGAACAACTCAGGGGTTCTGAAATGGGGGCCTGCACGTTGCAGATGGGCTGGATCACAGCAAATCAAACCATGCTGAGGCTGGCCTGGCTGGCTGAGCAAAGGACAGGTATGTGGATAACTGGGAAGGAACAGAACTTCCAAAGGGCCTTTAAAGAAGGACAAGAACTTTGAGCTGATCCCTCTAAGCCCTGACCTTCTGTTACTTCTCTCAACTCCTGCTCAAATTTCTGCTCCACTGACACCCTCAGGACTCAGAGGGCCAGTTTTTGACTCTTGCCTGAGCTCAGGCTCTCTGCACTGTGCTGGCATTCAGAGAAACCTCAGAAGCCATCCAAGAGCATCTGATCCCTCTCACCAGTGCAGTTCATCACAGATCCTTTGGCCTTTGCTTTTAAGGGTAAAACCCCTCAGAGCTGCTGCTTGCGTCACATCTGGGAGCTCCTTCAGACCAAGGAACAGCCTGTCAAGGGACTGGGCTGGTCTCTCTAGACCTCTTGCTTGGCACACAGTCAGCTGCAAAGAGCAGCCAAGACTTTTCTTGCTGCTGTGGGTGTCATACGAGGGGGAAAAGTAGTTTTCAGACCACAGGGCTTCAGAATAAAAGCCCATCTAAATTTATGACAAGGAATCAAAACCACACAGCAATCTTTCTGTTGGGCTTTCCAAGGTCCAGTCAGTAACTTCTAAAGTGTTTTAAGCATCAGACAAGAACACTGGATTACATACTTTTTCAAAATATAATCAATACTTTGCATTTTGTTTTTCCCAACAGCAGACTACCTTAAAAGAATATCCTTTCCTTAGACATCAGAGCAGGAAATTCCTCTAAATCAGGGTTAAAAAGCTAGGAAATTCATGGGGCAAAGAGCCTGAATTCCCCTTTGATACTGTGTTTGTTGGTTCTTGTGCAGTTTTTTCCCCTCCAAAGCCCTCCTCTCCATCAGAGAACCCCCAGTGCCATCCCTGTGGATGGCACACAAACACAGCCTCGGAAGAAATTACTGTCAGTCATAAACATCCAGGAAGCTACTGTCCCTAGAACAGAGCCTGCAGCACAGCTGCATTTCATCTCTGTGCAGATTTTCCCCCTCCAGCAGCAGTTCAGGCTCAGTTCTTGTACCAGCTGTGCACACCATGGACACAGCAAGCTGCTGGTACCCACTGCTAGATTATCAGCAAGTCTCACATTTTCTTAATCTTCATGGTGAATTTAAGCCTTACAGTCATGTGTTTCCAAGGAAAGGGCAGCTGTACAGAAATCAAGAGATTTCTACATTTGAGATCTTTACAAGATGTGATCCTGAAATACAAAATGCTCGTGTGAGCTGCACTGCTAACATGTGTGATCCTTGTGTATTTATGAGCTTGTACAAGAATGTGTTACCCGTGATTACTTTACAGTTTGGGAAGTTATTTATACCATAATTAAAAGCCAGCATGCAGATGTGCCTCAAGATGTTGGAGTGAGTCTGTCAAGAACACCTGCACACACCTTGTAAGACTGAAACCACAGGGAGTTTTCAGGAAGACATTAGCATGGAAAATACATGATGCATTATTTTGGATAACCTGGTCTTTCCTTGTGTTGGACTTAATTTAATGGCAATGACAGAAAAATAAACACATCTTACCTTCCCATTTCCCACAGGCAGCTGCTCAGGTTCAGCAATCTGCAGTAAGGTCTTCCTTTTAAGCCTGGGGATGCACGGATTGGCTCCTCCCTCTATAATGTCTTCAGATCTGCAATCTACCACAGCACAGCATTAACGAGTGCATTTTGTCCCAGATCAGAGTTGCTGCTGGACATCTGTGTTGACACAGCCTGTGCCAGCACATACCCCCAGAGCTGGCAGAGCCCGAGCCAACTGTTTACTCCACGGCTCAGTCTGGGGAACAGATCATTTCTTTTAGCCAGTGAACACTAAATCGAGTCTCTGTTAATGAAAGATACATCTGCTTTTGTTCTGCAGCCTCTGCTGCAGGGCCTCTTTGACCTGGCTTTGAGTTTGCATTTGTGCCGTGGAGCAGGAAGCTCCCAGAGCCCGTGGGTGTGAGCAGAGTGCTCTGGGAAATGCTGGAGCAGCGCTGCAGCCCCTGCAGTGCATCACTCTGCTCACTGCACAGCAGGCAGAAGGCCTTTGGCTCCATGCAAGCTGGAGACTGGTTCCTAGAAGAGTCTTTTCAGAAAATCCTAAACCCTGAGGTGTGCATGAGAGCTGGCAGGAAGGACCCTCTACTGACCTTCCTGATGCCCCTCAGAAAAACAAACCCATCCATTTCAGAAGGATCTTCTGAGAAGCTTTAATTAACTGGCTAATTCAACACACCAGTCATGTCTGCTAAAAAGCCTTGCTTGGCAGTTTTTTTCATGACTAACCCCTGATGAGAAAACATAAAAACATCCCAAGTGGGTTCCACCAGTAGCAAGAAAAGCAAAGCAGACTTTCTCAGGGCAGGCATAAACTCCTGAAATTAATAAAGTACAGTAGGTTTTACTGAATCCCAGGGATCCACACAGTCATGTTTTATTCCTACTGTACATAAGTAGCCAGATTTGGTCACTCCAACGAGCAGAGCTGGCTTGAACCTCACATTCAACACCTCCGAGTTCTTCTCTGGACACAGGAACTGGTAGCGAATGCCAAGATCCCTCAGTCGGTCAGGCCACTGCAGACTCAGCATCATCAGAAAGAGAGGCAAAGATGGCTTAAGCAGGGGAGTGGTAAAATCTTGTTCTTCCTGTCTGCAGTTTAATTATTCATCTTTCTGCAGCAGGTTCTCAGCAGCAAACCCAACTGCAAACTCAAACAGTACAAAATAATCACAGAGCTCAGAGAATCCTCACTGAATATTAGCACAGAGAACATTCCCTGGAGTGCTGGAAGAGCATCAGAGCAGAGAGGAAGAGTCCAGCCCAGAGCCCAGCCTGAAGAACTGCCAATCTCCTGGGTTGTGCCTCTGCCAGCTGGAGCTGCAGCCCAGCAAATGCCCACATTTCTTAACGATGCCACTGCCTCCATGGACAGCTTTAAAAAGCAGCAGGACTTCTAAACACAACTCTCATCACTTTCTAGGCCTATGGTCAGTAAGAAAACCATACTGAGAAATGAGAGGGGAAAGTAAACCCCAAAGAAGGAGCACATCTGAGTCTCTCCAAGAGTGGGAAACAGCTCCCCCCCCCATTCCTGACCAGCCCAGTGCTCCCTCCAATCCATCCAAACCCAGCTCATGGATCTTCTCTCTCTCCCTCACTTTCCCAGCCCATCTGTTGAGAAGCCCTGTGCTAAAAACAGGCAAAAAGTGTAGAATACCCCAGGTGTGCAGGGACAGCCTTGTCCCAGGGGCTGACTGAGCTGAGTGGGAATCAAGGCACGGTATTAAGTGGTGAGTGTGGCCATGGAAGCAGAAGAAGGGGCTGAAGTTACCTCCACAGCCTCTCTACTTGGGGATGCACCAGAGCTGCCAGTGAGGGACGGGGTGAACTCGGGATTTCAGGGCTGCAGTTTTTCCAGGAGAGACGAGCAGAGGTGAAAAGGGAATACAGTGAACCAGACTGTTTTGGTTATTTAGTTGATTAGACTGCACATTGCATAATCGTGCAGGGTTTTTTGTGATTGGTATTTACACTAAATGTCTCTCTGAAGGATAATAATACTGGAATGACACTTATGCACTCAGTGGAATATCTAGTGTAGGTGTGAAACATTAAAGCACTTAACACCAGATTCCAAAATTGCAATATGCAGTACTGTAAAATAACTAAAGGAGCAACATTTAAAGGGGAATTCATTAGTGTATCAAAGAGAGAAGATTACATTAAATCATTGCAACTAGTCCAGAACAAAAGGGACTGTTATAACACTATCTTACACCACAGTGAGTGACCCACTCTGCAAACTGCAGCTCACCTTTCTGCTGCTTCAGGCACTTGGTATTCCGGGATTATGAGAAGGGATGATTCTGCCTGCTGGAAAAACAGACATCCCCACAAACACCACAAAAGCTTTGTGTGTAAGGTCTGGCAGATAAAACATTTAAACAGTGACTGTACTATTTACAGCAAAAGTTCACACAGGTAAAGAATGTGATATTTAAGTTGCACCCAAACCCTCCACGTGACACAGCCCAGCAGAACCAAACCCCTTGGTGGGTGCAGTTCTCACTCTGTGAACTGAGCTGGTCCCATCATGGCCCGTGACAAAGCCCCCTGCTTCACTAACTCCTACTCACTTCCCCTTGTTTTGCTTCAGCCTTGTCTCTGAAACATCCTGGGCCACTAAAAGAACCTTTGCACAAAAATACCCATCCAGAACTAACTTGTACTTTAACTGCCCAGGCACTCAGAGTGAGGTATTTATTTGGCTACGTGTGCTGGGCCAGGTTATGTGTGGCAGAGTCACAGAGGAGGCTTTGCCGTGGTGTACTCAAGGTAAAAAAAAAAAAAAAAAGAAAAAAAAAGGTGTTCATTGGGTAAAAGTTGAACTGGAACACTTGTAACTAGCATGGAGTAATGTTTCTTACAGCATGACACCAAAAATGATTCTGAACTCAAAAGAGCTGGGAAACACAAGCAGCCCATGTGAAATCCTGCCACATCAGACAACTTGGTCCTTGCCCAAGAATTCAGAGGCAAGACAGGACTGAGGGCTTGGCCACAGCACCTCTTTCAGAGTAAGAGCCATGCTGGCTCCCAGCTGCAGCTCCACTCTCAGTGCACATTCTGAGCCATCAAACACAAAACTGACACGAGTCCGGCTGAGCAGTGAGGTGACGAACAGGCTCTACCAACAGGTAGAAAGCCCACGTGAAGTGGGCAGCAACACCCCAGATTTCCCTCTGGAAAACACCAGCTGGCACCTCACCTGCAGCCAGCCCCAGGAACAATGAATCACCACCTTCTTGTAATGCTGAGCCACAGGGAAGATTTTGCTTTAAACAGGTTTGATGGGAGCTCTGGAATATGAACGATCATGAGCGCATGAATCAGCTCTCACACACCACCTGACTACTGCTTCAACCAAAAAAATCTGTTTGGAATTACAAGTGTGACAGTTCCCAGCAACAGCAGCTTGGGTTTCCTCTACAGCAACTGCATTTTGGGGAACAGAGGGTTTAGTATTACACAGCAGCATCGATCTCTGGAGCACTGCCCGTGGTCTTCACAGGAGCCCAGGGACTGCTTGCAGGCCTGAAGAATACGGGAAGAAATGTCAGCTCCACCTCCAAAAAGAAGGGCAGTTTTATTAGGTGTAAACAAGTGAATTCTGTGGAAAATACTGCAATATTCAAGTTAAGCAGACACACACACATATAAACTCTTCATTTCTTTACAAAGGAATAAGGCACACATCAAAATATGCACTGTGTGTTTTATTAAAAATGCAAGTGTACTTAACTTTATATCAAACAGTTTTATCACGTGAAACCAAAATGATGGACCAATGCACATGTTGCCAACATGCAGGATCTGTATCAAACCACACATAATTCTAAGAAGGACCAAGGGCACCAGCTGAGATGGGATCTGCTGCAGCCCCAGCCTGTTGTTTCCTGGGGAGGGGAAGGTGATGATGCCCTGGCCCAGCTGGAGCTCTATGCACAGAACACCTTTTGGTTCACATGAACTGCCTTGTCCCAGCCTCTCCTCCTTGTCACACTGCCATCCTCACCTTCTCCCCCTGAGTTCCTCTGGGCCCTATTCCTTGCTCTCTTCTCTCTGGTGATTCAAAACTGCCATCAGTCCCCTCCACCCACTCCTAAACCTTCCATGCCAGCAAGTCCTTAAGTGCTCCACAGCTGCTTCCCTGATGCTTTAGCACAGGAACAGCTTGGCTTGGTTTAGTCCAAAGAGGAGCAAACATCTCAGAGGAGTGAGCTGTGAGCAGCTCATTCACAAAGGGCAGGTGAGGAAACCCAGAGGAGCTGCTCCAATCTCCCCGGGGGTTTCTTCAGATCCCCTCCCCCCAGGTCAAACACTGTGTGCTCAGCCCAGCAGCAGCAGCCAGGAGGAAAAGTTGCCTTTAATTTTTTGTCTGTGTAGAGAAATTTTCAATTATGAAGGGAGTGACCTAGAGAAGAGTCTGGGTTGTCAGGAGAGCACTGTTAATTACCTGCATTGTTTTAGTCACCTGGACACACCAGAGCATTACAAGTGGAGATGGGAGTCCCTGTAGTTATCAACCCTGTTTAAGGCTGGGGGTGCATGCTACAGCAGCAGGCCTGACCTCACCCTGCTGAAGGATCTCAACTGAATATGCCTGAGAAGGATATTGGCAGCATCTGCAAAGCCATTAGTCACATATTCCCATCAAGGATTTATCTCCTCCTGCAGCTTTTGTGGAGCCTTTATTAGAAGAGGATTAATTAAAATTAATTGAAGTTAGCACCAGGATCGCTGTCATATTTAGCAACAAGAATAAGCATGCCCAGCCTCTCAATTCAGAGACCACAAAGTTCTGCAGGAGCCAAGGGGCTCGAGAACACAGCAGGAGAATTCCCATTTGCTGCTCTCGCTGCAGGCACTGCCTCCCTCCTGCTGGGAAAGTCACACTGCTGGACACGCCATCCACCTGCACCACATCAACCATCCACCTGCACCACATCAACCATCCACCACCTGCACCAGGCCAACAGCTGACAGGAGCAGAAGGACTGCACTGCTG